ATATTTTTAGATTATATAATATTTTCTAATCTCTTAAATTACAAAGTAAATATAATTTTTATTATTTATAATTTCAACAAGTACAACGTTTTTAAAATAAAAAATGTAATAGATATTAAAACTAAATTTTGAAATTCTAGAATTTTAACAAATATCACATTTTTAAGATAAAAAACATAGTAGATGTTGAAATTTTATTTTGAAAATTATGAAATTTTAACAAAATTTGTGTTTTTGAGATAAAAAACGTTGTTGAAATTTTACTTTCAAATTTTTAGAATTTTAATAAAAATTGCATTTTTAAGATAAAAAGTGTAATGGATGCTAAAATTATATTTTCAAAATTTAAAATTTTAACAAATACCATGTTTTAAAAATAAAAAACAAAGTGGATGTTAAAATTTTATTTTCAAAATTCTAAAATTTTAACAAATGCCCTATTTTTAAGATAAAAATGCATTATATGTTGAAACTTTATTTTGCAAAATTCTAAAATTTTAACAAAAATCATGTTTTTAAAATAAAAAATGTAGCATATGTTAAAACTATATTTTCAAAATTGTGAAATTTTAAACAAAGATCATATTTTTTAAGATAAAAAATGTAGTGGATGTTGTCACCCATAATAAATTTAAAATAAAACGTAAAATATATTTACTTAATATTATTACATATAAAATCTAAAATATATTTACTTAATATTATTACTTAAAAAATTTGTTCTAAAGTTTCTGCCCCTTAAAACCTTGAAAGGGGGTTTACCATCCATTTTCAACCCTTACTCGATCTTACCACAAAGGTCAAAATGCATATTTTCGTAATTATAATTGTAAAATTATATTTGTTAAAAATATGAAAAAAAATTCAAAATTCTTTAATTTCAACGAAAAAAATGTATTATGAATGTCACGTGTTATTCATATATCATTAAAGACGATATAATAAAATATTTTATTAGGTAATCTTATATTTTTCTAAATTAAATACAAAAATCTTACATTCCCTAAATAAAAAAAAAAAAAACTCAAGAATCACATATTCTCTTTCAATATCACTTTTTTTTTTTTTAAATCTAAGAATCCGTGAACCAAACATCCCTTAGAAAAAAGGTAAATTTAAACTTTGTCTTATTTTTAATTGAAAATTGATCTAATTTTATATAATGAAAATAATGGAATTCTAGCTAAATTAGCATAACTTTTATATATATATATATTTTACAAAAGAAGTTATAATTTTGTTAGAAATACTTTCAAAATAATGAAAATATGATTAAGTAATAAACTTAATCAAAGATAAATTATGTTTAATTAAAATATAATTTAAAACAAAATTATGGTCAAATTGACATAATTTTATAATAAAGAAAGTCAAATCAAAATATTAATTTTTTATGAAGAATTGTAATTTTCAAAAAGGTAAACAGTCTTTTTTTTTGTATAAAAAGTTTAATTATTCAAATGAACGAATATGTCTATAATCTTTCAAATAAACATATTTTTAAATAAAAATAAAGTGATATTTAATTGAAATAACACGATTAAAGAATTATAACCTTAGACTAAATCTATATAAATAGAGATAGATATGGGGTCATTTGAAATACAATTCAATTCTAAATTACACCTTTATTTCTCTTAACTTTCTTTTGAAATGCTAGTTGCTTTAGCATTATTTGTTTTAGAAAACACTGTTGAAAACAAGGTATTTTTGTTTCTCACTAAGGTAGTGTTTGATATATTTTGTAAGATCATTATGGTAATGTAATCACCAAAATAACCTTATTAATAAGGTGATTTTATCACTCATGATTTGTAATTACTTTGTTTGGTTAACACGCATTAATTCTTAGGAATTAAATATCATTTTGTTTGGTTATTATTAAAAATCAAACATTATTTTGTTTAAAAATACGAAATAACCATAGTTATAATAATAGTTACACAAATTAACAATTTTAATATTGTTTAAGATAATAATTTATTAAATATTAGTAATATTCTATTTATTCTATAATAAAATATAATTAAATTATTAAATCAATAAATACATTATTGATAAGTACATTAATTTTATAATATAAATTATTTAAGGAATATTTAAATTAAAAAAATAAAAATAATCGAATAAATTCATAATAAAAATTTAATTAAATAAATTATTAAAAAATAAAATTATTTTTTAACTTGTTACGATGAATGTTAATTTGAAAATATAAAAAATTATAATATAAAACAAATTTTAATTCACATATCAAATGAGTAATATTGACTATTGTTAATTTTACACATTACTTTACCTTAGTGATGAAAGTTTTTTATCATTTTGTATGTGGATTAGATCACCCTCTAAGACAATGATCTTATTGTTCTCAGTGATTCAAAATCATTGTCACATAAAATCATCGAGTGTTTACCAAACACAGTAGTATAATTACCACGTGCAGATCATTATGATTTTTGAGTGATTACCCTAAACCAAACACTACCTAAAAAAGTGTTTAGTGGTTTGATTTTTCTAATGCAAAGTAAACCAAACTTAGGCTCCATTGTATCTTGAACACTATTCGATTCAACCTCTTTTGCATACCATAATTAGTAAGTGCAAAATAAACTTTAAGAAAAGTGACAATTGTAGTATGTCTTGAAGCCATTTATGTTCATGACTAAATATTTCATTACACTATGAAAGGGTTACTAGAAGATTACAAAAAAATCACATCAAGTTTATATTGTTTGGTGTTTTAACCTTGTGATTTTTTCTCATAAATTTAAAAATAAAATAAAGGATTGTAAGTGTTCAATTTAAATTTTAAATTTATTAAATATCATATTTTAAAAATAATTACATAAATCATCAGAACTAAATCTCGAATTATTATTTGTCTAATATAATAATACTCTAACATACTCAAAAGCATTAAGCCTAATATTCATTATTTCTCTAACCTAATAATACTTTAACGAACTCATCATTCATAATGAAAAGGTTAGTCGACCATATCAATTACAAATAATTTTTATTAACTTTTGTCCTAGGTTTAATGATTAAGTATGATGCAAAAGGGGCACAAAATCACTATTTAAGTCATCAAATCATGGAAGAAGTTTGGTCAAATCAAATACTTGTTTAACTAATCATATACTAGTGGTTTTAAAAAATGCAATCTCAAAAGGTTAGGCATTATTAGATCAATTCAATAGATTATAATCTCTTACATGTTATAAAAATAGATACAATGATTATATTACTCAATTAATAAGCTACAAGAAAAATAAAACTAAAATGCTTTAATTTTGACAAGTTAGAATGTTAGGGTAATTTTTTTTTTTTAAATTTTCAAATCTTTGTCTCATTAGGCATGGTATTTTTAAACATATTTTTTGAATATTCAAAGTTATTGATCATTGAATTTTGTCTATTAAATTAAGAAACTTAATATTTTATGAAAAGAAATTGAATAATATTTGATTCAAGTAAGTGTGTGATTTTTATTTTTTAAATTATTTAATAACAAAAAAATTATGTCAGGGAATAATTGGATGATTATGTTTAAAAAAAATTTCATAAACTCATACAATTGAGTGATAAAATAATTTGCATTGTAGATGTGTTATTGGAGGGTATGTTTTTCTCACACATTATTTGGCTAAATGATGCTTGGCTTTTTTTTTTTTTATGATAATAAATAATGAACAACAAAGAAAACATGAAGTATTTGATTGGTTTGTGATTTTTTATGGGCAAGTGACAAATAGGAATGATCAATTGAAAAATGAAAAAAAAATTAAATTACTCAAAAAATTTCAGAATTAACTTCAAAATCTACACAACTTATATTATTATTATATTATTGTTATTATAAATTTATTAGTTTTACAATTATAAGTGAAAATTTCATATATAATTTAATGAAATATCAATAAAAAAATTATGATAAGTACCCAACATTAAGCTTAATGATTAATTTTTGGTGTATAATTTATTGATTAAAAAACAATGCTTGAATTTTCCCTTTTCTAAATTAAAAAAATGTAAATCACGTGCTTTCTTTTTTTTTTTTGGTATATATTTTAAAGTTTTCTTTCAAAATACATTTTATTATTTTGAAATTATAAAATGAAAATTGTAAAAAAAAAAATCGAAAATAAAGTCATGTACTTGATTTTGAAAAGAAAATGACACCCCAAAACACATGCACTGCACACAAAAAGATCTTGAAACAAGAACCGAGCATGAATTCCCCATGGCTTCTACTTAGCTTATATAAAATAATTGGACATTTTAGAAAACGAAAATATAGTACATTATAATTTCATCAACATGCAAATTTATTAAAAAAAATCAATCAAACAAAATAAAAAAATTAATAGAAAATTACAAAATTTTACTGAATAAAAACCTGATAATTTATATATTTTATTGTATTAATTTTCTTTCAAATATAAAAATGATCATAACATAATTAGTATTATTACGTAAAAATATATGTTTTTAATTTTTATCAAAACTTTAAATTATATAAATTTTTTATCATATTATTATATGATGTATAAAATTAGGAGATTTATAAAAAATAATACATATCGCCGCCCAACCCACCAATATTAAAAAGTAAACCATAAAACACTCTACATTTTGCTCCTTTCCTCTCTCTTTGATTTTGCTTTTGCTTTTCATAGATCAATTAAAAAAAAAAACAATAAAAACAATTCGGAAATTTTTTTTTTTTCCTTTTAAGCTTTGATTTTCTCTCTTGCTTTTGCTTTGGTAGCTTCAGTCAGTCTCCAACTCTCTCTCCATTTTCTCTCCACTTTTGTATATGCTCAAAAATAACACAAAACAAATATTATTATCATTATTATTATATACTAATAATATATAAATATAGTTAAAAAATAGTTAGTAGTGGAATACAAAGGGAAAGGGGAAGGAGAGAGAGCTTTGTTTGAAGGGGGAACTGGGAGAAAAAAAGGGGAAAAATCGATTTTTGAGAGAAGATGAGTGGTGGGGGGTTTAGGGTTTCACCAATCCCAAACAGCGTGAGGAAAACGATCCAAAACATAAAAGAGATCACGGGTAATCATAGTGAAGATGAGATTTATGCAATGCTTAAAGAATGTTCTATGGATCCCAATGAAACCGCTCAGAGGCTCCTCCTTCAGGGTACTTTTTTGTCTCTTTCTCTTTTCATTTGAAGTCCCTTTCTACCCAAGTTTTCCTTTTCTGTTTGGATTTTTTCAGGGGTAGTTTTTTTTTTTTTTTGGGGGGGGGGGGTTGTTGCTAAAATGGGGTTTTGATGTTTTTTGTGATCTGTGTTTTTCGAGTCTATCTTTGATCTTAATTTCATTTTTGCTGATTGGATTTTGTTGTTGGGGACTGTAGTAGGTTATTTTTTAGTTTTTAGTTTTTTTTTTTTTGGGTGTGATGAGTTTGCACTGTTCGTGGGATTATTAGATTTTGATTTGATGTGTTTTTTTTTTTTTAATTTTTTTCAGTCCTTTATATGTATATATATATATATATGTATGTATGTATGTATGTATCTGTAAATGTCAAGCTTAGATTTTTTTTTCAAATTACGTGATTGTTGGTATTCAGATTCTTTTTTTTTTTAATTTTCTTTTTTTTCTGAGAGTTAGTTAACGATTTAATGTGTCTGTGTGATCTTTACAAGTAAAGGAACTTGGCTTTAGAAATGGGTTTTGATTAAATTGCATTTTAAATGGTGTGCCTGCAGCAAATTTTGTTCTCTTGAAGCTCATTGTTTAATTATTCCCGCTTTCAGTTCATTAGTCGGGACATTATGATCTGTTGGTTATTTTTATGAAGATTTCATTTTCAGTTATTAGATTACAAAATGTTTAGGGTTTCAATGTTCTCACTTTCTTGCTTTCCTACTTATTCTTAGGCACTTAGGTACTAAATGTGGTGTTTACTGTTATAACACTAATTCACATTCTAATGAATTGTGAAATGTTAAGTGAAGCTTTTGGTTAGCATTCAACGCCACATCAAGTGTTTTGAGGAAGTTTAATGTGGTGATAGGCATGTGCAAAAAGCTATGGGTTATTAACCCTGAGGAATTTTACTGTTTTGGTTGTTGGTTTGACCACTAAACTCGTTAGTTTTTCCCATGTATTTGTTATTGTCTGTCTTTATTCCAAGTTGTTTATATTTTGATGTTTTTAGTTGCTTCAGTTTGGTATCAACTTGAGGATTGATATCATATTATGGCCTTTTATGCACTATAAGTTTATCAGGTTTCTCCACTTCATATGAGTTACTGCTTGGTTTTGAGGAAACAGCTGTCAGATATATGTGGTTCTTTGCCTGTGTTACTCTCTTGTTTATACCTGGCTGCTTGCTTCTGATATGTTACCATTTTAATTGGCGCCATTCTTTGTAAACACTGTACTATCATGTGTTTATCAGGGTTTTGTTTTATTTTGCTTCCAAATAGATGATAAATTTGTATGTTGTCCCTCAGGTCCTTTCCGTGAAGTCAAAAGAAAGCGAGACAGGAAAAAAGAGGTAAGAGATACTACTGCAAATTTTGCAAGTGTTTACTCTTATTTTTTTTTTTTTTTAATTTCTGTAAGTTCTGCAGTTTTCTGTTTTGGCAATGTTGAACCTTGTTATTGGTAAGATATCGCTTTAGAAAAGTTGCATTGGTATTATATAATGAGTAATAAAGCATACATTTGAGTAGGTGATGGAGGGTAGGGATTAGATATCTAGCACCTATTTTTGTTTTACCCAGAGCCAATTGCTTTTCCTTCAAGGTTGCTTCGGAGGCTTGTGAGGTTGGGGTGTGAAGTGGTGGGGTTGTATACAGTTGGTTGACAAAAGGAGGGTGAAAAGGTAAAGAGGGAGTACAAAAGGTACTAGAACCCATGTTTTGAAGAAAATTGAGCTGCCATATTATTTACATGCTTCTTTTTTTTGGGATAGGGGTGTTGGGGGCAGAGACTACTTGGAAGTAGTTTGTCAAGCATGCATTCCTTAGATTTCGCATGGAGAATATGATAAAGAATTTGTTTTCCTTTTTGCTTGCTTCAGACTTGGATTTATCTTTTGCTGTTAATGTGCGTTTATTACTCATTCTTGCAGAGTTTGAACAACAAAGAGTCTGCAGAGTCTCGGTGGAGATCTGGTTCACAGGGAAGGGGGAGTAGGGGTGTCCGGGGGAATTTCTCTCCTCGTTATGCACAACATGGTAAACAGTAATTTTAGAACAGAAATCTGATTAAGATTATTGTTTGTTGATTACTGTCAGGCTCTGAAATAATGAGTTGATTGTGCTACATGAATTTGTGTTTGTTTCGGCCATGTGACTAATTTTATACCAGGTCAATGAACAAGCTGCCAAATTTTGTTTTGAACATGTTTTCTTTTCCCCTGCTCCTGCATTTTTTTGAGTATTTTTTTTGTCAGATGTGGTTTCTGTTACAAGCCTTTGAGGTGCTGATGTGTGGTACTTGACTTGCTTTTGTCATTTATATCTTTCAGTTGATATATGAAATGGCCATGAATCTATGCTAGATTTTGATATAAATATTTAATATATCAAATTTCCATGAATCTTGTGGTAGATTTTAATATGAATGTTGAATCATTGTCAGCATTTGTGCTTACGGTAATTATCACTTGTTTATCTTATCAGAGGCTGGTGGTTCTAAGAGTTCTGGTCCTGGGAGAGATAATGGAATGAATCAAATCGCAGAGAAAGGCAGTGTTCAATCCTCGTCAACCTCTCAGGATACAAAAACGAAAGAACCTACTCTCGTAGCCAGGTGACTACAATTTACAAATCTGCTATCTGTTATAATTTTCAATTTTTTTTGTCTATTGATGAACATGTGGCTTTAATTCAATACAGTTTGTTTGAATTAGATTTTTATTATTGTTATGTTTTATAGCCCTGTACCTGTCATGGCCAATGGTCCTACTGGTGTAGTGGTTGAAACCTCCTCTGCACCTTCAAGAAATGCTGCCATTCAACCTCAAGAAAATTCATCTGTTGATAACAAGGAGTTTGGAAGTGCACCATCCCCTGTTGATGCAATAAACAAACCCACCATTGCATTTGGAAGTGGGGACATGAGTGGGCAGCCTGCAGCAAGCTCTAGTGACTGCTTCTTGTCGACAGCTCCAGCATCTTCATCAGCAATCTGCTTCTCGACTTCCGACCCTGTACTAGTTCCATCTAGTGATTCTCGACTCATTGGCACTTTGGGCACAATCAAACGCAAAGTGGGAAGCAACCGGGCTTCTACAGAACCAAATGCTGTTATTCCTACTGAAAACAAATTAGCTTCTGGTCTGGATTTTGAAAAACATAATCAGTTTTGGAGGGCTTTTATTCTATTTAGCGATCAATCTGATTAGTTTCTTTCTATGACTTATAGCAGCTACTGAGATCAGTAGCTCTTTCATGCAAGGAAAGATGCCAGGAAAGTCCTCTGGAGTGGTGAAAAATCCACGGAGTGAGTTTGCCCAACCTTCATCTACAGCAACCCATGGTTCCTCTATGAGTCGGCCTTCATCCAATTATAGTGGCCGCTCGCAGCAAATAATAGGCCCTCAGAAAGGTAATTGGAATACTCTATTGATTAATGCTGTTTTGGAACTTTTTTATCTATCGGTCATAGTTGATGAAGCTTGATATGGGCTTCTCTTTGGTTTTACAAAACTTAATTGGATGAAAACAATGAATATTGTGGATTTTGTGCTATATTTCTTCCTCCTGATACACTGATAAAGAGATAAAGAAGATATTGATGTGCTCATGCATTTGTCTTGAAGATGGCATTCATGTAGCTTTATTTATGCTAGGAAAATTTACTTGAATGTTCACACAAGTTTGCTTGAAAAATGATGTTTGGACTTTCTATATTGCCCCTATTATAGTTGGAATTTATAACTATCTTTTGTAAATGGGTATCAGTAACGTTTTTTCCTTTGAGCAAGATAGAATTCTGTAGCATGTTGTAAATTTTGAATGCAAAATGTTATAACTCGAAGGATAGGTGAAGAGTCCTTTGTAAACAAAAGTAACCCCTTAAATAACGGTGTAACTGCGAGAAAGGATAAAATGGAAAGTTTTTTAAGCTTAAGATATAGCATCTTTAACACAAGTTTGCTTGGTTTTTCATTCTTTTCATACTACTTATTAATGGCTGGATGACTTTCAATGAAAATTTTTGCTCTTGGAACATATTTTGGCTGATACTGACAAATGTTTGGATCACTTTGTGATCTTACCTAAGGATTGTTGAAAGGCTTGTTAAAATATGTATTAATTCCCTCATGTCATTAACAGTTGGGTCTAATAAGGAGTGGAAACCAAAGCCAATCAGCTCTAATGTTGGGCAAGTTTCTGGAACATCTGGTGCATCTGAAGTTCCTACTTCACTTGAAGCCAATGCTCAGTCTACTACTTCACTTGAAGCCATTTCTCAGTCACAGCCTGTTTCAAGTGATCTTGACTCAGAAGAAGCAACTTCAAAATTGCGGAAGAAGCTGGAGGACTTACATCTCCCACAACGTCAACATGTTATAATTCCAGACCATATTCATGTCCCTGAATCTGAAAGAACCAAGCTGAGTTTTGGAAGTTTCGATGCTAGTTTTGGAGTAACATTGAGCTATGTTGGCGGTCAAGAGAGTGGTAAGAGTTCCACACCATTGTCTGAGACTTCTCAGGATGTTGATGAGATCGCAGAGGAACAGGCTTCAAGGTTTGTTATAAGTTTCCAATGACTGTAACTTTTGACTTCTCTTCTAAGCAATGTTGACCTATTTGTTCTACAGAATAAGCAATGCCAACTTTTTTAGGGATCATAATCTAGCTACTATTCGGTGTGTTTTGTATGCTTGGCACTCATGTTATTTTCTTGTAACGTTGCTGATTCCAGCAATCAAAATGCATTGGCAACCGCTGAGGAAGGAGATTACACTGATCATCCACAGTCACCTGCACATGCTCCTGAAAATTTGTCTGGTGATGGTGATGTCCCCAGTTCCATTCCAGAGTATAATGAAAACAAGCAGGAGAATGCATTGCCCTCTGTAGGTCATCAATTCTCTGTGGTCCATACATCTCCTAACTACAGTTTTGGAATTATGCCTCCTATATTAGCACCATTTGAAAACGCTGAATCTCAAGCACGTGAAGTTTCCCGTCTTTCAAGCTTGGTCGTAAGCATCCACTTCCACCCGTTCTTTTTTTAATAATATATGCAGCTCTATTGATTCCTATATCTTATTCAAACTTATGTTTCTTTTAGCATGGTTTTTTATGTAAAAAGTAGTAGAAAATTTTATATGTTAAGTAGTTTATGTTATATTCTCAATTTGAGTTTGGCTTTTGGTCATTGTGCTGATTGCTATTATCTAAAGTATTGTTTCAGTAACATCAATTGCAGTTGTGCTAATTATTGGCTCTAATACTACTTACTTCTGTTATTAAATGTTCAACAGCCATTTGATCCAGCATCTTATTATGCTCAATTCTACCGTACAAGTGCTGATGATGATGGTCGTATTTCTCCCTTTCCTTCTGTTGGAGTTGCCACAAAATACAATGGGAGTGTTGCAGTACTTCCTCCACAGACTTCTCAGTCTCCTCAAGAGGTTTGCAGAGATTAAGATAAAGCACCTTGCATAATTTTAGATTGAAAAATGACCATTTTACTAGAGAAATATCTACTTGTTGAATAATTTATGGAATCTGTTATCAGTTGAATGAGCATATAACTTTTCCTTTTCTAATCTACTAATTGATTTGAGGTATGCAAAATATGTCATTCCATATACCAAAGTTCGGTTGTTGGCACTGTTCTGGTAACAGTTTTTACAACACATTTTGTTTGCTTTAGACATTTGGTCGCTTCCAATTGGGGGCATCTGGGTCTGTTGCCATAAACCTCCTGGGATACTTCTTGAACACAACATGCTTAATGGATAGGATTAGACTCTCTAGAGGGATAGTTTCGGGGGAAAACTCTTGGTAAAAGGATGAAACAACTGAACAAACACTGATTTTGAGTGGGAAAAGTAGGATTGAGTGACAAAAGCTATTGGAAACTATTCCTTTATAATGAGCATAAGTTGACCTTTTCCTTATTGTTGATTTTTATACTGAGTTGTATGGTTTATTTCCAAGCACTTAATTAGTATATAGTATGAAAACAAATCAAATATTCCATAAATTTATTTTTCATAAACCAAAATTAAAAATGTATTGAGACACATAGAAATTAAAATGCAAAAACTATTTGTTCAACTTCAAATCCATCTGTGATAGTTTCCATTAACCATGCGCATTTAACCACACAAACTAAGAGATTGCCTATACCTCTTGTGAGGGGAGTAAAAGTGAAAATTTTGTTACTTCGAATCCTTCTCTACTATGATTTATAAAATTTCGACTTAAAATTGATTATCTACCTCTAATTTTATTTATATTTCAATTTTTGATATAAATGATAATCTTTTTTTTTTTCCATCATTCGAACATCACAGCAATGTGTGGGGTAACACTGCTTGTGTTACATTACCGTTGCAGAAATTATGATATGGTCTAGTTGAATATTATTTGATTTTTTGGAGCTCCCCGGGGAGAGCTGAAGTGGGGGACATAGTGAAACCCGTTATTAGTGTCAAAGACATGATTGTCAGATAAGGCAGTTGACTACCTACTGTGCGGCATTACATGCTAATACTGAATTTGAAGCTGCTTTTTCCACTGGACACATCCAAATTCTTAACACATGCATATGGCATATATATGTATATTAAATACTTTTGGAATTTAGAGCTTATTTGCATCTGTTTGCAGGGTGGAAACTCTTTGGTACTGACTACAGCAAGTCCAACTCCACTAGTGACTCAAGCTGCTGGGCTGATGCAAAGTTCCATAGCTGTGACTCAGCAACCAGTCCCTGTTTACCGCTCAGCAGCTGGGGTGCATTTGCCACATTATCCTCCAAGCTACATTCAATATGCCCCCTTTTACTCTCCTTTCTATGTTCCTTCTCCTGCAATCCACCAATTTATAAACAATGGTGCATTTCCTCAACAACCTCAAGCTGGTACTGTTTATCCTTCTGCACCAGCAGCGCCTAATTCAGGAGTCAAATTTTCACTTCCTCAATTTAAACCTGGAACCAATACGGCGAATTCTACTCATATTGGAATGCCAAGCGGTTATGGGCCATATGGCTCCTCCCCAGCTGGTTATAATCCCAGTTCTTCTGCAACAACTGGGAACTCAACCACTAATGAGGATCTCGGTGCATCTCAGTTCAAGGAAAGCAATGTCTACATCACGGGGCAGCAGGTTGACAATATATTCCCATTTACTATGTTTGATTATCATTTTATTTCTTAAAGAAATATTTATGACATGAGAATGTATGAAACAGTACTTTTGTTAGTGAATTGTAGGTTCATGTCCCAATTTGTTCTAGTTTACCTTTTTTAGCAATGATTACTTTTATCTTAGAACACAATCTTTATATTATAGTATATACTGGCAAGCTAGCCATATATTTTGGACTAAAAGTATAAATAAGACAAGAATGTAAGGACGTTAACTTTGACCTTGGGTTGTAGGTTCATGTCCCAATTTGTACTATTTTTTTATTTTTTTATTTTTTTATAGAATCTAGCTCCCTTGTCTTAGTAATGGTTACATGTATCTTAAAAAACAATCATTTATACTATGCAAGTATTTACTGGCAAACTAGCCCAGATTATGTAATGGTGTTTGTCAAAATAGAATGAGGATAGCCTTTATGTTAGTGTTAGGACTTCTAGGGGCCGGTAGTTCTTTGCAACTGGGAAATGTTGTTGGTGTTTGAATCGTGCATGTGTTGTTGGGCGTTTTTCTTCTCTTTTTGCATCTCCTTTACATATCAGTTTTGAGAAGCCTGCAAATGTCACTGGACTTCTCGTTTTTCTGTTTTTTTCCTTTTAGGATGATTGTTTCACATATTTGCTTTCCCTGCAGAGTGAAGGTTCAGCTGTATGGATTGCTCCCCCTGGTCGAGACATATCCAACCTGCCAGCAAGTTCATTCTATAACCTTCCCCCTCAGGGTCAGAACGTAACTTTTTCTCCAACACAGGTTGCTCCTGGCTCCTTTGCTGGTATCTATCATCCACAAGCAGTAACAGCAGCAGCTGTTCATCCTCTTCTACAACAGGCTCAGACTATGGCTGGAGCTGTTGATATGGGGGGACCTGCTGCCAGTGTTTATCAGCAGCCTCAACATGCACAGATGAACTGGCCTAGTAACTACTGAAACAGAGATAGATATGTTCTTTTTTTTTTTTTTTTTGTAAACCAACCAAACAAGACATTCAATGTCCAATCTTGGAGAACTCCAACAGGTTTTAATGGAGGGGAGCGTCAAGAAGATACATCATTGGCCAGAGTTGAGAATGTAAATCTGTTTGGGGAGGCCAGGAAAAAATTGCCAGTAGTTTCTTCTATTTGCTTGGGTTGAGAGCATAAAGAATCCAGTTCGACTGTAACTGATATTAACCGTTTAAAGTTAGTGAAGGTAGGCATATGGAGGTCGTTCTCTTGCTATATGGTGTTACCTATTTTCCTTCTCATAGTTTGAAGCCTTTGCCCCTCATTTTTTTCCTTTTAAAAGTTTTTGAACTCTTAGAATTTACTATTGAGTAGTAAGAATCTTTTCCATTCTTTTACCCTTTATTGAGGTTTAAGGGTCTTGGAAGGTAAGATATTGGTTGGTGGAGAGTTCTTTCCAATTCCTTTCTTCTTATCTTTCCTCTGTCTTATCTGTAAATTGAATTTTGATAGCAAGAAAAGGATGTATTGAACTGTTGTAAGTGGTATAAGCAAAGGCCAACATTTTCAATTGTTTCACTTGAGACTTGACTAATTTGTCCTTAATGCTTTTTCATTATATATATGTAGGCTTTGAGTGAAAAGGCTTATGCAAGGGGATTATCTGTTTTTTTCTCTTGTACAATTCCAAACGTTTTTGTTGTCAAAAGGTGGTTGTCTCCCTGGGGAGGGAAATTGCCATCTGCAGAAAATGAATTCCTATAGATGAATGAAACCATAAGATCCCAAATACCTACAGGTACTAAGTTACAGTTTTCTTCTGGTATTGGATGATGCTACAAAGCAGATTTCATGTTTTGAGAGTAAAGCTGGCAGGATATCTCAAGCATCTTTAAAATTCTCAATGCAAGCTAAACAACAAAGATAATGGCCGGCCACGGACTCTCCAATAGTGATTTTGCATAGTTTTTATCTCTCCTACTGTTAAAATCCCCCATTTTACTTAAATCGGCACATTTAAGGTAGACATGTGAAGAAATGGAATTTTATATTCTTCTTGTACTAATCGTTGTTTCAAAGATTAAAAGCAGTGTCTAAGTAATTCTATACAAGCTATACTTGAGCAGAAATTTGCACTGTTGTTACTGGTATTGTCGCTGGCATGCTTAGCAAGTTCCTGAATGTCCATAAACTTGCCCCTTTCTTTAGCCGTGTTCGGCCTAAACCAGTGGATCAACCTCAGCAAGAGCCAGAGGAGAGTCAGGGGACCTCTTCAGCTCTGAAGATTGTCCACGCTGGTGGGAATGTTGAGTGCTACTACATGGCAATCCCTGCAGTTAATATCATGAAGAAGTCTCCCTCTTACGTATTGGCTAGGCCCGAAGTTTTCAGGAGGCCATGGGATTCATTGATCCGGTCAAATGAGATCCTCACTCCAGGTGAAAAAATCTACCTTGTCCCACGTCATACCGTAAAAAAGCTTCGGCGAAGGATTAAAAAACCCAATGAAGAAGTTTCTGTAAACTCTTTCGTATCAAAGTCTACTTCCATTGATGTCTCAAACAATGGTTTCTCAAGCAAGTCCTTTCTTCAACGAAATGAAGTTAGTGATTCCAGCGAGATAAGTGGTTCGTTTAGTAATAGCAGAAAGAAAAATGGAACAAAGAAACATGTCAGATTTGCAGGCATTGATGCCAAACCGAAGGTTGGTTTGGCTTATACTAAAATGAGCAAGGATTCAGGCATTGCCGAGAGCTCCAAGAAGAAACCTAACCTTCAGCTCCAAGGAGGAAAAAGGAAGTCGAAACATTGTGTTTTATGGCAGCCAAGTCTTACAGCAATTAGTGAACATCATGGGCCTGGTGAATGATATATGATATGTTTCTCTTTTAATAATATTTTAACAATGTTTATATGAAAATTTTGCATATGTTGTTTTAATTATTTCAAGGCAAGATTGGAGACTTCGAAATCTTGTTTTGGGGTAATTTTTATTGTTGTTTAAAAACTTTTGGTTTGCTCATCAATCTAAGCAAGGGAACCTTGTTTGTGTCAATGTCATTGGCAGCATAAATCAACTTTTATTTTTCACTAAAATTACACGCGTTTTGCTAAGAAATCTTTTTTTTAAAAATTATGTTTTAAAAATAAGAAAACTAAAATTTTTATGTTAAATTCTAATAGATAACAATATATAGATAGATATAAATGTATTTATTTTTTAATATATATTATAACTTAATTATATATAAATATAATTTTTTATTAAATTAAGGTATTAAATAATATTTTTATTAATAAAATATATAAATTATAAATTAAATAAATAATTAAATATATTCTTTTATATATATTGAAGATTCTAGAGTAGAATATTTCAAATTTAATTTTGATTTGATTTAAATTGTTTAAAGAAGTAAAATTTAATATAATTTTTATTTAAAAAACACATCGATTGAATCGTGATGAATTGAAATTCATCATATATAAGTTGTTTTGTTATTTTTATATCAATTGACTTTTTTTTGGATAAAATTTATCTAATAAATAAAATTTTAAATAATAAAAAATGACAAAAAATCAAATAGATGACTTGTAAATTTATTTAATTAAATTTTTAAATAATAATTTAATAAAAAATATATAAATATAGAATTAAATAAATTATTAAAAATATTTTTATATTACTAAAATTGAGATGTAACACTCAAAATTTTGCTCTTACTTAAGTTTGTTTAAAAAAAAATCAACTAAAATTATCCTCAATTTAAAAAAATGCACCAATTGGACAAGAGCGAATTGAAATTCTTAAAATATGAGTTATTTTATTATTTTTATTTCAATTGATTTTTTTATTACAAAATTTATTCAATAAAAATAAAATTAAAAATTTAAAAAACTTTAAAAAACAAAGAGAATGAAAAAAAAGTGTTATTTGGACACTCCAAATGAGATAAAATATTTTAAATTTATCTTTAAATTCATTTTATTTAAAAGAATATCTCAATCCGATCTCTATTTTTTAAAAAAATGCATTTTTCTTGAATTATTACGAATTAAAATCCATTCGATAGAAATTATTTTATCAAATTTATCTATATTATATTTTCTACAAATTTTATTTAATTAAAAAAATAATAATAAATAAAAAAATAGGAAGGATGGGTGACGCGTGAATGTACTGTCGTTCTACAAAATTAAATAGATAGATTTAAGGAAACAACACCTGATTCCTTGTTCAATTAAAATTTTAATATTCTTTACTTCTTTTTTTTGTATATCCTATAGTTTTTTTTTTTCTTTGCTTTTAATTAATTTTTAAATACAAGATTTTTTATTCAATAAGATTTCAAAACCCAATTGAATTTGGCTCGAACAAATCTAAATTAAACCTAAGCTTCACTTTCGGATGATATAATTACTCAGCTAAAAAAGGGGAAAAAGACATTTTTTTTCTTTCCTTCAGAAAAAAAAAAAAACCACTTGAAATCTCGTTTTATAACTTTTTTAATGCCTGCCTCCAAAGTCAACTAATTAACTAAGTAAAAAGAGACCAAAAACGCAATTCGAAGATAAAAAGGACAGAAATCCAAGACGTCAAACGCTCTATGCAGAACAGCAGCTGAGGCAGCTTCACTGCTTTGAGAAGAACCCAAAAGGAAGAAATGGGTCATGACCAAGAGGAGGAGGAGACACCAGCAGCTACCCCGACGACCACCGCCAGCAAAGACCAAGAGGAAGAGACTTGGAACCACCAGATACAAACCCTTATACTAGAGCTTTCTGAGAAGCTCATAACTGGAGATCTTCAGGCCAAGATTGAACCTGCTAGAGATATAAGAAAAATTGTTAGAAAATCATCTGTTAAGAAACGTTCAAAGTTTGCTGCTGCTGGCGTTATTCAGCCTCTTGTTTTCATGCTCTTGTCTCCTAATCTTGATGCACGTGAAGCTTCTCTTCTTGCTCTCCTCAACCTCGCTGTTATAAATGAAAGGTCTCTAAATTTTTTTTATCTGCTTTCTTTTAATGTTTTTTAAACATAGATCCATGATTGGGTTTCTTTTAAATTTTCGGTTTTTTATGGGTTTTGTTTCTTTTTAGAACTCATTGGTTGAGTTGTTGTCATTGTTTGTTTGGTTGCTGGAAAAATAGGGGAGAAAGGATTGGAGGGGAAAAAGAATAAAAGTTAATGATAAGTTATAGTCTTTAGATTGTTTAGTACTTTGAGTAAATTATCAAGTCAATAAAGTCACTTTATTTTCTATCAAGGTGGGAAAATTTTCTATTTTATTTTTCTTCCTTGTCTTTGTCCAAACATAGTAGTTAATTGAGGGGATTGATGCAGGTGGAGTTCAGCTCTTTGATTTTCTGATTGCTTTGATTCTAATGTCAAATTGGATATTTTGGGTGAGAAGCTCTAGGAAAGTTGGTTTGTTGATACAATTTGAATCTCTGTGTTCAGGTGCTTAAATTTAGGATAAATACATGCCCTGGCTGTTGTCTGTCCTCTCTGAACACTATATTCCTAGTTAATAACCTGCAAAAGCTCAATTAGATGTCTGATGGTCATTCTAGTTTCGGCAAGCAATTTGAATTTTCTTTCATCCTGTTAATGACTGTCCAGTCCAAGAAATTTAAGTAAATTATGTGATGGAATGATGAGAAATGTCATTTGTAGTGATACTAATTCCCAGAATGTTTTGCTTGAATCATTTTCTTTGATGTAGTTGTTATGCAATTCTGTACTTTTTACTCTTGCCACCATCCTCTTCTTTAATTGGTTAATGGTAATATACAATTGTGATATGTTGTCAATTTATCTGCTTGTCATTTTCCTTTCTTGTTGTCAGAAACAAGGTCAATATAGTTACAGCTGGGGCTGTCCCTCATCTCATAGAGCTTCTCAAATTGCAAAACAGTGGTTTGAGAGAATTAGCCACAGCTGCAATATCAGCACTCTCAACTTCTGCACCTAACAAGCCCACAATTGCAGCCTCTGGAGCTGCACCCCTTCTCGTTCAAATCCTTAGCTCTGGACGTGTTCAAGGAAAAGTTGATGCTGTCACTGCCTTCCACAACCTATCGACCTGCAAAGAAAATTCCATTCCTATTCTTGATGCTGAGGCAGTTTCTCCACTTATCAACCTCCTCAAAGAATGCAAGAAATATTCCAAGTTTGCTGAAAGGGTAACAGCCCTGCTTGAAATCCTTTCTAAATCTAAGGAAGGGAGAGATGCAATCACCAATACAGGTGATGGGATATTAACCTTGGTAGAGACTGTTGAAGATGGCTCTCTTTTCAGCATGCAGCATGCTGTTGGAGCTTTGCTTTCTTTGTGCCAGGGCTGCCGAGAAAAATATAGAGAACTCATTCTTAAAGAGGGTGCAATCCCGGGGCTTCTGCTACTAACTGTAGAGGGCACGAGCATAGCACAAGAAAGAGCTCGTGTTCTCCTGGATTTGCTCAGAGATAGTCCTCAGGAAAAAAAATTGGCTTCTTCAGTTCTGGAGAAAATTTGTATGATATTGCTACCCTGGAGATGGAGCAGATAAAGCAGCCGTAACCGCCAAGAGGTTACTGGAAGATATGGTTCAAAGAAGTATTTAACTCACATGAAACGCATTCAACATAGGGCTGCCTCTTGCACACCTGCCAAAGTTCCAACTGCATGATGCATTCTGCCCTGGATGCAAGTAAACCAGTTAAAATTTGTGTCCATTCTAGATCACCATCCAAGAGAGTGGGAATCAATAAGAGTAAAATGTCATTGATTAAGTTTTACTAAGAGTTTTTCCCTTTCGGAGGTGCTATTTACTACCCCAAGGGTATGTTGTACATCTTGACGCTTCCTCGTGTGTATATAAAAAACCTGTGTCATAATACATGTAGATTTCCACTGATGAAATCATAGTAGATGCTGCATTGAATTAAGGTTGTGACCAAATACTTTCTTTGACCAAAGTTGTCTAAAGCTCCCTTTTTTATGTACTACTTTTAATTAGAAGATTATCGCCAACAAAGTTCATGGTGGTTCAAAACCCAAGACCACTTATTGTTAACCTTAACTATTAGACAATCCCTCGTGGGCATCCTGTTTTAAGTTCTTTGGTTTGATGGATAGTTTGTGCGGTCAGGTTAACGGGTAGTGTGTTTCCATTGGCAAAAAGAAGTAATTAAACCCTCAGATTCAACTGCAACAGTCAAAATTGCTCAACTTGTATTAGCAGAAGTTGCCAGATGAGCAGCAACAATAAAGATTTTGGTATGTTGATTGATCATTTGTTGAGACATCAGATCTTATGATTTTTGCAACCAAATGTTGGAAAGTGGTGTTCCTGTCAGGGGACATGATTAAATCCTCCACCCACATGCGGATCACAAATACCAGAAAATCTGGGGTCCTTTCTTCCCTATTCGTAAGATTTATAATTGAGAAATCTTGGTGGTCAAAACTGTTGATCCAAAAGGCAAAGCAATTGGTACAAAAAATTCAGTCTGCCCCAGTTGGATTATACTTTTGACATAAAGAAAAACCTTCGAACAATGGAGCTTTGAAAAGCTGCAATGGAAAAGCAGCTTCCATGTCTAATCCCATAATGGCAGAGACTTACTGGAAAAAATGAAAAAAACCCATCGTGAAAAATGAGAAAAAAAATAGGCTGTTGATGTTGATGATGTGTGAGTGTGATTGTGAAGAAGAGACAATGGACAACTAACAACTAACCAATTTAATTGACAAATGACAAAAGATCAAGCAGCCGTTTGGACGGTTAAAATTAGCAACAGAGAAAAAATATTTTTTTCTCTTCCTTACGGAAAATATTAAAGTTGGTTTCTTAAGGGAAGATGGCTGATGCTGTTGATATTGGTAACCGATAATCCAACTTGAATTATGTTTGGTGGATGGCAAAATTAATAATCCTCTTTGATTATGTTTCGTCGGTAATAATGAAAACGATGAAATAAGTAAAAAAAAGCAAATAAAAATTTAACTCCATTAATTTACATAATTACTTTTAAAAATATCATTTAATAAATTAAAATTTTTTATTTTTTTATCCTCGTATTACATTTTTTTTTTATTAAAATAATGGAATACTCCTCAATCCTCACATTTTTCTCTTATGCTGAATTCCATCCCATTTACTAACATGCTGCCGACTTTTTTAATAGTATACTTTTGTTTTTTATTTCTTTGTAAACTCAAGAAATATGTATACTAGGTTTTTCATTTTATAATTTATTTGTAAATATTGCCTTCTTTTTTTTTTCTTAATTATCACATTTAATTCTTAGAGCCTATGAGAGTCAAGATTTTTTTTTATTATTTTCAAATCTATTATATAATAAATTTTTTTTATTTTTATTTACACGTGTTATAATTTATGAGTATAATGTTATGTAGATCCAACTTAAATATAAAATTATATAAAATTAAATATTCATTAGATGTAAAATAATATTATACTAACAGAGATTGAATTTTTTGTTACATTTTTTTGGTGATGGAAAAAGGAATAAATGAAAAAAATTATAAAATGTGGGAAAAATAAGTGAAAGAAAGAAGCTATGTAATTATTAAAAATATTGGATAGTTTTTTTCAATTGAAAGTATGGATAATTTTAAAATAAAATGAATATTAAAAATTTTGAATTTTCATATTGTAAATAATATTTATATCCTTTATTTGATGTATTTATTGCAATTTAATAATTTGAATTGTGTATTATCTTTTCAAGTAAATCAATGTCACTTTGACTTGAAACAGTAAATTCAATCAACCATTTTATCAATAATTTATTTGTAAAAAAATTATATAAGAAATGACTCAACATTTAATTTTGAAATAGTGTAAAAAGGAAAAAAAATTAAATTCCTTTATCAAAATATTGAGTATATACTATCAATTTAAAACTCTTTTAAGTATTAAAATATTTATTCACTATTCATTGCAAAAATTTTAAATTTTATTATTAAAATAAAAATAATAACACATATCTTTTTAAAATATAATATAAATATAAAAATCATTATGATAAAAAATACGTATTAATCCCTTAATTCTACTTATGAAAAACTAACTCATTTTTAAGAGTTAGGAAACCAAACATCTTTAGGTAATGATTTTCAGGAGTAAATGTTGGCACAAACTATATGTTTTGCTGTGTCGGTGTGTTTGTCACATAGCGTTAATGCAAAGTAGTCGCCTTCTTTAATTAGTACCACAGAAAAGCAATACAAAACAAAAGATCACCCGCCCCACAGATCTTATCCGTCCACGTAATCGTATCATCACGTGTAACCATCAGAAGCAATGTGCGCATTTCGCACTACGTTCACAGTACCAGATTTCCCTGTAGTTTAATGAATCATCAACTTTCCACTCTTTTGACAAAGGCAAAGAGGAACATAAAAAATTGATAGAAAATCTTACCAAGTACCAGCTCACATTCACGAGAGAGAAAGAGAAAGGAATTTTGGGTTTTCAATTTCTCCAGTCTTTCTCTTTGCTTTAGCTTCATCTTGAGAAAGGTAAGTCAAATTCTGAAATTACTTGCCACATTTTTTAGTTTCAAGATCTATGAACCTCGATCTGTAAAACCTTAATCCTTGCATTTAGTAATCTGGGTACTTTTTTCTTGGGTCTTAATAAGTAGATTTAGTTCATTGTAAGGGCTTTTAGTTCATAAAAAAATGTTGGGTCGTTCTGGGTTATCTAGAACTGGAAGCTTTAGGCCAGAGAATCTAGGACAAAATGCTTTACACATGATTGGCAATCTTTGTTTCACTATATTTGTAATAGGTGTCCTAGTTTTCACTATTATTGCTGCTACTTATGAGCCGGAGGACCCTCTGTTCCACCCTTCTACAAAGATCACGACTTTCCTCACTTCCACATCAAATGCTACATTTCAATCGGACAACACTGTTGTTAGAACTGGAGAGGATTTTATGGCTGCCAACCAAACTGCGTTTGCCACTTTTATCAATGTGACAGATGTAGCAGAAATCAAGGAGGTGAGTACGGATGAAACTAGTTCATCTGGATGTGAGGGTGATTTGAAAAGACCACTTGATTGTAAGGACCCAGAAGTGTTCCATTTGATGATGAAAGTGGCAATTGAGCGTTTCAAGGATATTCATTTTTATAGGTTTGGGAAGCCAGCTCCTGGCCCTGAGGAGAATACTTGTGATATGGCTTGGCGGTTTAGGCCTAAGGAAGGGAAGACAGCTGCATTTTATAAGGATTATAGGCGGTTTGCGATTAATAGATCAGAGAATTGTACGCTTAGCGTAGTGAGCATCGGGGATTATCATTCAGGTGTGAATGCAAGGAAAAAGAAAAATAAGAATCAAAAGCCTGGATTTGAGAAGACATCTGGTAGGCGGGAGCAAGGTGGTGTGTCTTTGCCTGTTGTTGGGGAAACAGTAAATGATTCACTTCCTGTGGTTGAGTCTGAAAATGCATTTAGACATGGGAAATACTTGATTTATGTCGGTGGCGGAGATAGGTGTAAGAGCATGAACCATTATTTGTGGAGTTTCTTGTGTGCTTTGGGTGAAGCGCAGTATTTGAATCGAACTCTGGTTATGGATTTGACACTTTGCTTGTCTTCAATTTACACTTCGTCAAATCAGGATGAGGAAGGGAAGGACTTTAGGTTTTACTTTGATTTTGAGCATCTGAAGGAGGCAGCATCAGTGTTGGATCAGCAGCAGTTTTGGCAAGATTGGGATAAATGGCATAGGAAAGATGGGTTGAGTCTTTATCTTGTTGAGGATTTTAAGGTGACGCCAATGAAGCTTTCCGAGGTGAAGGATTCTTTGATTATGAGAAAGTTTGGATCTGTGGAGCCAGATAATTACTGGTACAGGGTTTGCGAAGGAGAGACAGAATCTGTTGTTCAAAGGCCATGGCATCTGGTATGGAAATCAAGAAGGTTGATGGATATAGTTTCAGCAATTGCGTCAAGGTTGAACTGGGATTATGACTCTGTTCACATTGTGAGAGGGGAGAAGGCGAGGAACAGGGACCTGTGGCCTAATCTTGCGCGAGATACCTCACCTGATGCCCTTATCTCAACCTTGCAGGATAAGATTGAAGATGGGAGGAATTTGTATATTGCTACAAATGAACCTGATACAGCTTTCTTTGAACCCTTGAAAGACAAATATCCCACTCATTTTCTTAATGAATATAAGGATCTTTGGGATGAGAACAGCGAGTGGTATTCAGAGACAAAAAAGCTTAACAATGGAATACCAGTTGAATTTGACGGTTACATGAGGGTCTCTGTTGATACAGAAGTTTTCTTGAGAGGGAAGAAGCAGATTGAGACTTTCAATGATCTGACTAATGATTGCAAAGACGGTGTTAACACCTGCAATGCTGCAGCCAGTTAATCCCCTATATATGAGCTGTGAGACTTTGTGGTTACGAATATCCACATGCATTTTTAGCTATTGTCTTTGTTACCTTTAATAAACTGTATGCCCTTATCTGTTAGTTTTGTCATTGAGTGGCATTTCTTGATTTTTGTACTTATAGAATATTATTATCAATGTTTCATGACTTGGCTTCATTCTGAGGTTCTAGACAAAGTTGTTTTGATCTACGGTGCCATGATATAGTCTTGTGATGTTTGCTTTTAGGATTACCTTTTCAAATTGATCTTGGCTTTTTCAAGAATGATCTGTGGATATTATGCTTTTGTCCATTTAGCTTAGTATGGTTAGTTTGTCATATTAGAATCAAGAAAGATCTAGAAAAACAAGAAAAGACAGATTGAAAGGAAAATAGCAATTCAACTTTGCCAACTGCTATAAAGGAATGCTGAAATATGCATTTCCTGAATCTTAAGTTAATCAATGATCATATCTCGTGATTTTTCCTATTAAAAGAATAAAGGCCCATGAAGATATATGGTAAACTGTTATTAATTCATCATCAAGTAGATCTAATGGCATTTGAATGATAAAGAGCTTGAAATCTTGGGGCTCTTATGCTTAATTAGTCTAATGTTGCCTAGCACCTAATAAAACCACTGCATTATATTTAAAATTTGACCCTGGCTCTTCTGGCTCATGCATTCCTCAAATAAGAATTGAGGGCTCAGATGATTGATATTTTTAGAGGATTCTAAACTGATATAAACTCTATTTCTCTGCAAATGATAGTGGAATACCACCACCCCTACCACAGGGATCTTACATTACATGTGGGGGTGAAAACTGAACTAGCTTCTCAAACAGATACCATCGAACATTGCTGTCAAGAAATTCTCAGGATCAAAATTGGCTTGCCAAGCAACATTAACTAAAAAACTCAAAATGAACAAAAAAAGATGTTGTGAGCTAGCCTGGTTTGACTCACATGGTACTAAAAACTAAAGCCTTTTCTAGTTGACTCCCGAATGCTTGATTTTTATAACTCCAACCCAGTATAACATGATCAGCTGATTATAAGGAATCAAATGTATCAGTAGATCACAGAACATTATTATAAGAATTAACAAATGGCTTACAATCCCATCCTCACAGCTACATATAACGTTAAAAATTAAGAGCATTTGCAGAATAAAGCGATCCTCACCTTTTGCTAAGCATACTGTTGATCTCTTCCTCAATGTTGAATTCATCAAGAAGGGGAATTCTTTTATCATATAACTCTACTGAATCACAAAGATCAAGAGCTAAATCCTGAAAGTTGGTAACCTGACACCAAAAAGAATAGCTGATACCTTCCAATTTCATAGCAAATAATTAATAAAAAGACAGATGTACGAATAGCAATGATAAAGTAGAATCAGAAATTTACAGGGTAAAAAGATATAAGCCACTTTTTGCTTTATAAACAAAACCAATTCAGTATTTTTAACTATGGTTAAAATTTCATTAAAAAAAGAAAGCAAAAGTAAGGATACACCATCAACGGAAACAAAAAACCACATGCTTCATGCAGAAAGAGATGCATCCATTGCCTCGCTTCCGATAATGCAATACCTCATGATATGTTTTTGGCAAGTCAAGGGCCATTTTGTTTACCTGAAGGTATATAAAAAAGGAGGTGATATTAGGGGATGAATTATTGAGAGACTATCATAAGCTTCTGATGTAAAATAAAGCATGGGATAGGTAAAAGTGAACGGAAGAATAGGAGGAAAAAAAATGATAGAGACTAGCCTTATCATTAAAGTAACCCTGGACAACTGACAAGTGTTTGACCCATTGCTTTATGCATCAAAACAGGTGATGCCTCTTCTACACCTTCATCTGGTGCAAGAGCTGCAGATTTAGCATGTTCTACAATAATTTTCATGTTGAAAGCAGACCTTCCAAGTCCTTCTGCAGCTTCTTCAAAGAATGTCCAATAGCAACAATCCTTACAGTTAGACCAAAGCCCTGAGGCTGCAAGGGTTTTGCTATGACTTTCACATGTGTACGCTCAACACCAGTGATCTTTTTTCAGACTCCAATTCTGTTGCAGTGAGTGAGTAATATCTGCAACCCAGGAGAACTAGTTCAGAAAAACAAACAACTTAATGAACCATGATTTAGAGAGAAAGGAGATTAAAGAAGGGATAACACCCAGAATCTACTTCTTAATTTTGGATAATCTGTCAATGTGGGACCCTTTGTACCCAATCCTTCTTTCACAACTTGCACAATTATTTTGGTGCCCTTTCGGACTTGGTCCCACTTGTTTTCATTGGCATCCTCTATATCTTGGGAACGTGACACTGAAAAGCCATTAGATATTTCCTAAGAAGAGGAACCAAGAAGAGTTGCTCCTACTAGGTGGAGCTCTACATCTAACAAATCCTCAAAATCAGTATCTATTTCACCATAATAAACTACACTACCATTCACACTCCTTAAGAACCTCTAAAACATCAAAATCCTCATCGACGTAATTATCCTTATAATTATTATGCATAAATTGCATCTCCTCATCGTCAAAGTCATCTTCTGCTGCATCTCCAATGAAAACATCATGTTCTGAGTAAGGTTCAATTTCATTTGTAGCTGAATGCTCACCAGGGGTTTCGGAAACTAAACCTTTGCCTTGTTTCTTTGTCCTCTGACAAATTGAGGGAATATGATGGGTTCCCTGTTGTGCATTACGTCCATAAGAGAATGTCTGGAGCTTCCAAAACCCATATGAGGAACAAGTTTTGTAACTACTCTGAGATATATACTATCCCACTGCACATGGTTTTAACTGGTTCAAGTAACAACTCAACCAATTTACCATCTTCCAGTGCAGCAATCATTTGCATGGTACATATTGAAGAATTTATCAATATAATCATTGATACAGATTCCTGGAAATTACAGGACGGACTGCTTTCTTTGGGCAAGAATTTCTCTGTAATTCGGTCATGCTGATTATTTGCTTCCAACCTGGTTATCTCATCTTTGACACTGACGTTAATTTTTGACATATCAGCCTCCAGATCATTGCCATATGTGAGAAAGAATAGAGGTGAACGGAAAAACCAAGGTTCCTCAACAGGCTAACCACATGACTTGGTTCTATTTCATCCTTGGCTGTAAGGTAATTCAAGAATGGTTCTAACTCCTTTGGATCACTTTCACGATGTTTCATAATCTTATCTTCATCTGTCAAAGCACTGGAAGCACTTGAGTGTTCAGAAACATTTTAAAGAAGCAAGCTGCATATAAAAAAGCCCCAAAACAGAGATATTGCCTTCAGTTTGAACTGAAACAGGAGGTTTTCTAGGAATATTATTTTCCTCAATCCATGACCCCCTGTATGAGGTAGGCTTTGGACCTCATCCATGAATCTCTCACCAAAAATTTTCCTTCTTGCTTCTTAGGTGTGCGGGAAATGACAAAGAAAATTGTGGTCCAGGTCTCTAAGTGATGTCACATAAAGGCTGCATTTCTCCTTTGATAAAATAATTATACTTGAAATTTCCACCACAGGCTATCTGCCAAATAGAAAAGGTGACTAGATGGAATTTGTACTGAATATAAGTTACACAAACGGCCAGGTTCATTTTTGTATGAATAGGTAACAACTATTATCCAGCTACTTTTAATCAAAAGAAAGACCTAGGAATCAAAATTCCTTTGTAAACGATAGAGAAAGAGCTAAAGGATATCATATTCTTTATTTCTCAGGATAAATTTTATATTGCCAAGGCAGGAAAAGAATAAAAAGGCCTCTTATGTACAGAAATGAGTCCTCAAGACTTTAGACTAACTCAATACCCCAAAGCTTGTCTTCTCATGGTCTTTTCTCCAAAAATCTGTCTTGTTGAAGTCAACTAAGAAAGAAGCACTAGTCTCGGTAATCCTTCTATAAAAAAATGTATAATATCAGATGCAAGAACTGCGAAGAAGAAAAATTTTGGATAGAGTGCCAAATATTTAACATGTCATTAAAGATAATACAAACCATAGATATGGGATTAATTGTTGCGGTTTGACATCGTTTTACATTTCAAAGTCTATCAGCAGTAAAATTGTGCCACTTAGTACAGTGGGATGACACTACCTTAACTTCAGACTGCCATATTAAACGATCAGTAGGAGACATTACGACTGCCATCTCTGGTTCCCAGCAGCCTAAGGCAACAGATTCCCCACGAATGTGCCAAATCTGCTTCGACGGACCAAACTACCTCATATCATCCTTCAAAGGTGGCAATCGACAGGCCTGAAGTTTAGTCCAGTTCATCAGCCATTCTGAACTATATGAAGGTATTTCCTGAAAGGGTCTATGAGATGTCGATAACTATAAAGATAAACATGTCAATTTTACAAATGAAGAAAAAAAAAAAGGAAAAAAAGTTTTGCACAGTTGTAATAATCTTTAAAGGATTTATATTTCCAGGAACAAAATAAAGAGTCTATATTTCTCTCATTCCCATCGTTATCCGTCAGCTATTAGACCAAGATTCCAAAGTCTGCAAATAGAAAATTATAGCAAATATATGTCTCGTGTGTAAATATATCAACAGTTAGTGTTTGCCATCAGATTACGCAATCTTATCACATCTACCGCGTAATAATGGCAACCTATGCTATAAGTCAATACAAATTTGCAAAATAGGATGATAGCTTACCTTTCTTCATGGACATTATTGGGGATCTTGTCAGAGAATTATGATTTCCACACAAAGAGTAAATTTGAACACATTCCCCCCAAGGGGAATGTGATTGCCTGAAAACCTGCTTCAACAGCACAATCAATAGTAATTTGCAGAGAGTGGAAGCAAAGGTGATGAGAACCTAAATTAAAAACATCATTTCAATGCGATGACATTCAAGGTTTTTAACCATGTCCAAATTGTGGTTCTCCATCTTCCTACAATAATATAAACTTAATTTTACATCACATCCAAGAGGTAAACATGTTCACTAGAGCATCATAAATATCACAAAATACAAATTGGTTGACTTTGGAATTAGTTAAGACATCATTTGCAAGAACGAGGTCAATAACATGGTGATACTCAACAGAACGAGTGTAACAACAAGTACTAACTAATAACAAGACTTCATTCCTTGACAGTGAGGTATTGCCCTTACCAGTTGCATTTAGCACAATGCAAATTATCCATTAAAAACTTTCATAATCAAGGAATGCTAAAACTCCTATGAATGGATACTACTTCTTCTAACCAAGTAACCCTATTTAAAATTGTAATTCGATAAAGCTATTCAATCAATTCTGAAGACTAAAACACCATTGAAAATTAAAAAAATCAAAAGAACCAGAGCAATTCAACAAAAGCTCCCCACATTCACAACTTTACAAAAAAACCATTCATCTTTAATCGTTAGAGAAAGCAATAAACATGACGAAAATGGAAACCCAGTTGAAAAAAAGCGGCACTTACGGTGCTAAGAACTTAAAGAAGCGAAGCAGACAAGAGGATGTTCGCGGAGAGAAGAAACCGTAAGGCCGAGGCCAAGCTTGCAAGACATCCATGATAGTGGGATGCTGGAGCTCAGTGAAGGACGGCAAGGCGGAAGCTCCCAGGTTTGTAAATTTGGGTAGACAATAGGGGCAGTCTCGTCATTTGAGAGAATGTGGAAGTTCACTGTTTGGAGCTCCGGAAAAGCGTAAAGGGCCTTTGATTGCATGATAAATGGATCAATGGGTTTTTCTTTGGGGTTCTTTCTCTTCTGCCTTTTTACCTTCTATGGCACTTGTGTACATATACCACACGTGGTACTAGAAAATTTTTTAACATTTTGTTTTTTGTCTTTTTACTTTTTTATTATTATGCGACCTTTTAACATTGATTTTGTGGACCGTTGGGTCTTTCAAGTTAACCAATCAATTCAATATTCCTCTTCAAGCTCCTGGTTTATGTCAAAAGCATGTAAAGCTAAATCCTGGGGAGATTTGCCTTCTGTCCTGAACCCAATATTTCTAGCACCTCCTTGATGTAACCGGACCTGAATCAGTTTCAGATGTTTTCGTCATAAAATTAGAACATGGCTTCATGCCAAACTGCAGGTGGTGCCCATGTAAGCTACAAACAGAGATGTTTGATAAGCTATCTGCTGAATATAGAGACAAAAGCATGGTTCATATTTCTGTAGTACAAGCAGAGAGGTGTATGGCTGTTATTGTTGCAAACGATGTTGGAGAATATTCCCAGGTAGACTAGTGAACAAGAGGCATTGTTGCTTCTGAGATGATGCAATTCAATTCAATTTTTGACTCATTCCAAACAACTGAGATGGTGAAGCTGTGGACATGGGGATGAGTGTGAAGCAAACTTTATTATATTCTTTAAGATAATCTCTACTAAAAAGATAAACCGAGTTCAGATTTCTAGTCTTATTTCCCTGTTTTGAGAAGAAGTGAAAGGAAGCAAGATAATCTCGGTACCCAATATAACACATTCATGAAATCATGCTGCTATAAACCTGGATTGTTGAACACCCCAGCTGGATGTACTCGAAGCCAAGTCTGACAAAAAGAAAATGAAACCTAAAACTTGAAACATGCTCTGAGATATAAGCCACTAAGCCAGATAGATACCATTTAAACATCAGAAACCTGTGACATCAATATATTGCAGCAGATCAGCTAGTGCATCACAAGGCAGTATATCCTGTCAGCAGATTTTAATTCCAATAATTACCTAGTATTTTTTTAAATATTACCTATAATGAAATATTATTTTTTATTTTCATCGTTTGAAATTACTTTGAAATTAATTAAAAAATAAATATTATTTTAATTAATAAATTCATAATTCAAATATCATATTAAAATTTTTTAACAATTAAAATATCATATTAAATATTTTATTATAATTTAAATATCATTCACGACATTAATATTTTTTTTTAATCTTTATCCCATTGCATAAAAAAGCGAAGCAAGAAAGAAAACAAAAACTCCATGAACTATAAAAGCTCAAGACAGAAGTGAGATGCATATAACATCAGAAACCCTGACAATATGTACATTCAATAACACATCACCACATCAAGATAAACTTGCGGGTAACAACGCTCGCCTAACACTAGCCCCAGGCTGATAACGGTCATTTAAATACCTGTACAATAAACACGCTGTACAATGAAATTTCCTCAACTCATCATACTTGTAATATTCTCACCAAAAGCAGGAAACCTCCTCTTCAGGCAGGAGAGGAGTCCTGCAAAGAGGGCATGTGAAGTTCCAATAATTCAACCACTTTTCCAAGCAAACCTTGTGAAAGAGATGGCCACAGGACAAGCGGTTAATCTCTGATTCAGGTTCAAACTGAGTCAGGCAAACTGAGCAGTCATGCTCAGGCTGCTTGCAGCTACATAAAGCATCAAACCGGACGGCTGAGGTCCTACTCCGGAATTCCTCAATGTAACTATCGGAAGTGCTAAGGCGCAAGTCAAATGATTCTGAGGGGTTTTCAACAGAGTCCGAGGAGGATGACAATGATGAGAGATGGATACCTACAATGTGAAGGATTGATCGTATTATGCCTTTAACTATAGATATGGATAAAGCTGTGTTTACCAAGAGTACACATAGCACTCCTTCTGATGGAGCTGGGAGACTTGCGAGACCCATTTGTTGAATCAAGGTCGGAATTTATGGGGGATTCAGAATGGAAAAGAGATGTGTAATATGAGAAATTCAAGATTAAGCTAAGTTTAGCTGAACAAATGATTATATAATGGAAAGATAGCTGCAAGAAGATAATTTTAATCAGTCGCCATCGAACAAATCAAGGATAGAAACTATGCTACTCTCTTGCGGAAATATATGACCTGGAAAACATAAAACGTCCATTAGATTACCATACAAATAACAGAAATCAAATTATGCAAAAGCAAAAGCAGATTATCAAGCTTTCAATTCCAAAACTCACATGCAGATAACCTTAAAGATAAACATACTACTGACCAATACAACATCACACAAACAATCAAACACCATAGAAAAAAGGAAGGAAGATCACTATAATTGAATTTGAAACTTACCTTAAAAGCAGAGGGGGTAAACCATCACATGACAAGTGATGACCGAAGAGTGCAAACCCAGATAACCTGCAAGAGAACCAGTATTCAATTGGGAAAGTGATGTTAGTGAAACATTTAGGGAGAAATACCAAGAATTCTAATTTTGTAAATGAATAAAAAAGGTAAGTAGTAAACATTGATGAGGATGGGTTAAAAATGGCCTCTTGTTACTGGCCTCATGGTCCAGACGGTGATCAGATGCATATATTGCGGAGAGGTTGGGCAAAGCGTATGGCCTATAGGATAGGATAGGCTTTAAAGAGTTGATTCCAACTTTATTCCATAAAGCAAAAGCTCAAAGAAATTGGAAGATGAAACATTTCCAAAGCAAATCATGTTATGTGATTTCAAATGAAAAAAACCCAACAGACTGTCCAGAGCTGGCATCCCCACAAAGATCAATGCCAAATGAAACACCTTTTATAAGCTTTTCTATTATCAAGATCTAGCCTGCTCAAACCTTGATGCTAATAAACATGGTCAACATAGAAAATCAAAGTTATAAAAAAAAAAAAAAGGCAAAGGAAAACATACCATATTTCCAATTTGGAAAAACTAATCAAACAAACAACAAACCACACCCCAAATAATAAACAAAGAAAAATGCAGTACCAAGGTAAAATGAGATCTACCATTTCATGCAAATTAAAAAATGCCACATAAAAATTAACCTTAATATCTTTCATTTGCTTCATTATTATTCCAAAAACAGAAGAGCAAACTTTAAAAGTAAAAGATTTGAGTATGTTTAAGCAAAGAAACTTACACAAAAGGGTCAACTTTGCTCTGTACAAGGCAGCAAGAACAAGAACAAAAAAAGATTTTTTTTCATGGGATCAATGAAACATAGAGAAATGAAAATGGGTTTAAACAAAAATGAAATAGTTAAGCTTTTTGAAGTCTGACAATGGCTGCCTTTGCCATCCTTCTCTCCTTATATAGCAACCCCCACCCTAACTCAAAAACAAACTGTGGTTAGTCTTCCAGGTTTTCCGGGCTGTATATCCCTTTAACCATGGTTACTTTATATCATCAATCTCTCTTTTACTTCAGTTTAGTCTTTTGTGTCTTCAAGTTTTAACTAAACTTAATTTTCACATTAGTAGATTAGATAAGATTCTCACTAGTTCTAGACTTATAGCAGCTAAAAGAGGAAAAGTGAATGAAACCGTCTTTCTCACTTTTAGCAACAAAAGCTGCCACTAATAGTATCGAAATTATTATCAATACTTTTTGGTTAGAAATTGCAATTCAATATTTTGAGAACCGGATAATTGCTAGTTTTTTTTATTACAAAATGAAAAAAAAAGTTAAAAATATTACAGAACTTCAAGAGAAAATCATTTTTATACATCCATTGAAAAAATACACTGATAAAATTTTTAAAAAATAAAAATTTTCATAATTTGATTTTACCAAAATCGACACAAAAATTATATAAAAAAAACCAATTTATTACCATTCTAAAAGTATTTTTAGTAGTATTATTTGCTCTTTTGTAAGATTTTGATTCCTTTTTAAGTATTCTTAGTCGTAATTCTTCTGGTTTTTTTACTTTCTGGCCTATCATTTCTTGTATTTAATAAAAAATTTATATTAAACACATTAGAAATTTTTAACTTTAAGAACTTTCAATGAATTATTGAAAATAAAATTTTTAGGCTTAGCATTTTGATCAATGATAAACATATGTATTGTCTTTTTAAAGAAGCAAAAACCACCCTTTCTCAAATTTAAAAAAAAATACATATATATATATTAACAAAAATTTTAAAAGATTCACAAGTTATTGATCAAATATAAATATTTGATTAATAATAATAAGTGATTGATTCAATTGATTAGGTTAATTTTTTTTTACAAAGAAATTTTGAGTTTAAATTCTATCGGTGGTCACTTATTAAGATCATTTCGAATGCATAATTTAAAGTCATCTATCTTAAATTATCAGATATGATATATTTTATTTTAATATAAAAAATTGAATAATTAATTTATTTTCAAATTTCAGGGAGTAAAAAAATATAAATATTTTTAATAAATTTTATTTAACATTTCATCATTTGTGAAATACTAAATGCTAACTACCACATTTATTGCATTGCAACCTATTATTATTGTTATGACGATTTGAAAAGATAATCAAAAGGCCGTTATCAAAATCATGGGATATATTTGACTGATTTTGCTAAATGATTTGAAATATAAAGATTATATATAGAAATAATGGTAAGCGTGTAAATAATACCGAGGTCTTTATTGGTTTGTTTCTCATTGACTTCCACAAAAAAAAAAAAAAAAAGAGTGTTGCTTTTAGTATATTTAATATTAAAATTTTATTTTTTTTATAAAATTAATGTTTCATAATTTTCAAAATTGGAGAGTAAAAAAAAATCTTAAAAAATAATTTTAGGTATTAAAAAATATATAATTTTGAGAAAAAAAATTCAGCTTTTTAGGCACTAAACCATATGGCATGAGAAACTTTGCTTTGTTTCATACCAATCTATAAGAAAAAGTAGCAACCCTAAGGCATCAAGTGGAGTGAAAACCGAAAAGATTGAAAATTCACAATTGTCAAAATCCCAATTTCGTTCAACAACCTTTCTTTATTGCATTATTGGTAGTACTAAACTTTCTTTCACATCCGCCAATTAGGTTACTTAACCAAAAGTCCATCTTTAAAAACCTAAACATGGCAAGTTGGGTTATCTTGAACTTACATTAGGAGAGGACTTAGCCATTTATGCTGAGTTTTAAAGCATCAATGTCCAGCTTTGTCCCGCTCCAAGAAATACCATAAATGAGCATTTAACGAGTCGAAATTGAAAGAAAAGATGGATCCTTCAATTCTCAACCAAAAATTGACAACCAGTTTTGGTCCTGTGTGTCACAATGAAACTTTGGGTAGATGGAGCCTCTCCCCTCCTTTCCTTTCATTATATCTCACCTGCATAATGACAAGTGGCATTTATTCTCTGAATACTTTTCTCCAACTTCAGACAATTGCCTTATTTATTTTCCTTATAGTCATTTTCTCAGCACTGCCACTGTGTCTCAGTTTCTGAAATTAATGAACCATTTCACATAGAAATTCAACTTTAGGGATGGGGAACCCTGAATGTGTCTATCAGCATTGTCTTGATTGTAAAATTTTGTGTTTCTACGTGTCAAAATCTTGATGGGCATTGGAAAAATGTCAGCAGATTAATGGGGCTTGGGACAGAATCCTGATTTGTAAGTTCCCCCAGCATTGATGTCCAGGTGTCAAACAGTCAGATGAGTTTATTGCATCAAAGTCTTGTCTCCATCACTTTGGATGAGACTGCTCTCACTTCAATCCTTTCCTTGGACATTCATATCTGTTGGATTCTTTTCTTTTGTAATTTTCCAATGAAAAAAAAAAAAAAAAAGAGAAAGAAGAAAATGTCAACTTTCCTTCTTACTAGAGTCTTGGGTATGGACTATATAATAGGGATGAAGTTGTTACATGAACAATGTAAAATGGATGAAAAATGAAACATCCGACAAAGTTTTTTGTCTGAACATGGTATTGGTATTATACCGTGAACCTATGATTTGTTACAATCAATACTGTAGAGAGTGGGAAATGCATTTGGAAATGGAAAGTTCAAGATTGAAAAAGTCAAGAAGTTTGGGGTTAAAGGGGATGGAAACCGAGATTTTTTTTTAGTACTAACATTCGATTTGGTTCATATTTTATTAAAATTTATGATTTATTTATATGGGTGGTGAAATAATAAATCATAATGCTTATGGGATTAGATATTATAATAATAAAATAAGATATTATAATTGTTAAATTATGATATTAAAATTAATAATAAAAAATAAAAATATGCATTTAAATATAAATACAATAATAAAAATAAGGTTAGTTATATTAGTCAACTGTTCCATCAGTGTCATAATTAAAACTAAAATAATTTTCTTTACATATACCATCCAATTGGAAACAACTCTGAAATTGCTATACAACAAATAAATTATAAAAGAGGAAAAGAAAAATCAAGTGATCAATTGGTTCAACGATCCATTAAAGATGATTGTCAGATTCTTTAATGTTAGTAGAAGAATCCAGGAGTTTGCAGATGGAGAGTTGGCAATTAAGCTGTAAGATGATGTCATAGCTGACATAGTATGAAGAGATAGCAAGTAATGTGGATTGGATTTAGCTATGAATTATTATTAGTATACAGTAGACAATGAAGCATTCATGCACATAGAAAGAAAAACGAAGATCATTTGATGACGGTAATGGTTAAAGTGAAAGAGAGAAGATGCAGGTTCTTTGAATCGCCTGAATTTCAGGTGGGGCCACCCTTCTGTTTTTCAAAGGAAAAAAGTGCGTGTGCGTGTGCGTGTGTGCTTTTTCTTCTTAATTTGTCACTTCCCTTGTCATTGTTTGTTTTTCGTTATTTTATTTTTTATTTTAAGTTGCTTGAAGTGCAGGATGCTCAGCTTCTCATTGCTCAGTCTCAACTAAGGCCTAGACTTGTTTAAGGACTAAAGTCCAGTTATCCGTTTAGTGCTGCCTTCAATATAATTTTTGAACCCAAGTTTGAGTTTGTCAAAGGTTTTATTTTTTAAAAATATGAAGAAGAGATTTGAATATTATTTTTTAAATAAAAAATTATACATAAAGATATCAATAGGTAAGATATAAGTAAGATAAAATATTTTTTAATTTTAAATTTTTATATTATATCTATCATCGTACCTATATTTAATGAATATTTTAAATTTATTTTTATTTTTATTTTCGTAAATATTTAATGGGTATGAATAATTTTCATAATCGTAATTTTAAAAAAATAAAAATAAAAATTTATTTTTTAAATATTTTTTATTTTTATCTTATATATTTAAGTAGTTTTTTATTAACAAATATCTTTTTTAAAAAATATATTAATTGTAATTAATTTAAAATAATAATTTATATTATTTAAAAAAAATTATTTACTGAATATATATATAAATATATATAAAATATGGATACGAAATGAATATTATATTAGTCATTTTCATCATCATAGTCAATAAAACTTTAAAATCATATTCATTTTTATACTCATAATATAATACTTATTATTATTTCTGTTTGGATTAAAAATCGGATTCTCCATTTGGTATAGCTAAAATTGACATTTCTAATTATACATCAATTATGAATTAAATGTTTAATTGAGATTAGATTTTTATAGTTTATTTGAGATTATTGTTGTGTTAAATTAATATATAATTTTATTTAAATATGATTTGTAAAATATATTAAAAAATTATTTAAACATGAATATAAAAATGATTATTTTAATAACTAAAGTTTTAACTAATGTTATCAAAATCGAACCAGTCAATCTAACAGGGAATTGGCGGCTGGTCCACCACTTTTGTTTAGCCCTAAAACCGTTGAGCAAACATGTTTTTTTTTTAAATAATCACCATATTTAATACTTATTCAATAATAAAATATATAATCAATTATAATAAATGCTTCCGATTGAACTGAAAACTGAACCTCTCGTCAATTCAACAATTGATCCAATTATTAAAATATTAATTTTAACTACCAATGAGTATGCTTAAAAAGCATATAAAAAATAAAATAAAAGGAATACGAATCATTGTCATGTTCAGATAAAATGAATTAGTAATTGCCTCAAGTAAAAAAGGGGGGGAAAAAAAACATAATGCAGTAAATGAAAAGAAGGCATAAAAAAAAGAAGATAAGGCCCATATAAAAGAAAAAAGAGAAGAAATTAGAGGAGCCCAAACGAAATAAAAAGGCCCAAACAAGAATTCAAAAGCAAAAAAAAAAAAAAGAAGCACAAAGAAAATTAATTAAAAGAAAAACTTTTTTGAGTTCTGAATTTCCTTTGTATAATTAGGGTTTAATAAGGGTTTTGCAATCCTATTCCTCTTTTCCTTTGGCTTTCTTTTTGTTTGGGTATTTTCTATTGAAGGCAAGAAGATGGTGATGATGATGGAGGGAGGCAGCGTTGGGGCTGGGAAAAGGAAGAGAAATATGGGTAAAAAGAAAGCTAAAAAGTCCAAGAATAAGAAACTTAAGATGTTGGAGGGTAAAGGAAAAAAGTTTAGAGTAAGTAAAAAAATGAGAAATATGTTTGAGAAACGAGCCCGTGACTACAATTCCGATGATGATGAGGAGGATGAAAAGGAAAACACGGCGGAAAAGGTAGCCCCAGGTGATACCTGGATGGGTGGCGGCGGAGACGGAGATAATTCTTCTGAAGAAAGTGATGGTTCAGAAGAAGAAGAAGGTGAAATTCAACCTGGGATTATGAAGTTTACAGAAGGTGTTAGAGCATTCAGGTTGGCATTTAAGAACATTATAAAGAGGAATGTAGCTGATGATTCTTTGGTAAAGCTAGTTTCTGAACTGGGTCTTTTCAATTTTCAGAAAAAAATTGTCTTTTTTTTTTTCAAAAGAGTGATTTTTAAAAATTTTTTTTATAGGGTCCAGTATTATCAGGGCATAAGCAGCTTGTTGCAAAGAAGTTAGCTGAAGAGGAAGCTGAAAGGAAAGTGAAGGGAGAAGCTAAGAAAGAAAAACATTTGGTATTTGCCTTAAAGTTATGCTAAAGTTACTGATAACTTTGCTGTTGGTTTGGTATTTTATGTATGTGTTATTAATATTACAGGTTGCTGAGAAAGGGCATTTGAGGCCTGCTAATTACTTGGATTCAAATGAAAAGTTTCTAATTGGTATTGCTACAAAAGGAGGTGATGTATCTTTTGACCATTAATTTTCCTGTAATGTAGATATAGTTTAGTTTATCGCATATTCTTTCTTATACTAATTAAGTTTTTTGGTTTATGTGTAACTGGGAATTTCAGTGGTGAAGTTATTCAATGCTGTAAGTTGTTTTATGAAAGCCCAAGCATCTGCTTTTTACTGTCAAATATTATAGTCTTTGATTTTGTTTTGTTAGATTGTTAGTTATTTATGTGTTCTGGGTGTAAACTTTGTTGTTTCATATATCATGTAGGTGAACAAAGCACAAAAGGCTCAGAAAGGATTGGACCCTTCAAGGTCTAAAGATGCAAAAGGTATGCTCATAATCTCTACAGCTATAAATTTTATATATCATTGAACATTTGGAAGCAAAATTTGCAGATTATGTGAAATGTGCAATTGTGGATTATGAGGCCGTAAATATCTTGTTCTGAATCCCAAGTATGAGGCCATGTGTTTGGCATTTGACATTTTGAATAACTGGAAATGCTTGTTCTTCGCTTCTTGCTCATCTAAAGCTTAAACTTCTTTCACAGTTGTGTCTAATATTCCTTATGACCATATCGGTGCAAAAGACATGATATGCTATTATCACTTTATCACCAGACAGTCATCTCATACTTTTGTCACCTAGTAATTCACCTTACTTAGGACTGCAACACCTATTGCACATATACATATATACAAACACTGTAGTCACTTTTCTCTGATTAAATACTTTATGCTTTCAATAGCTTAGCTTTGAAGGTTGAAGCATAACCATTACTTCTAGAAATGCATTGGAGTAAACATGCATCTTTTCCCTATATGTGCAGCAAGATCTGATCAAATGGTTTCTTAGGTGTTGATGCTTTTAGAAAATATTTTTTCTGTTTCCAATGCCATGTATGGCATACAAATGAAGAGATTAAATAGATTTTGTTATAATTGAGCCAAATATTTTATGCCTTTGAAACCCTATTGATGTAGGACAAGTAACACAAAACTCAATTTCCAGAAACTCTCAATAATTCATTCATCAAAAGCCTCCTAAAACTATTACAACTTAAGTGTTTATAACTGAACCTAAGCCCTAATAAAAAACATAAAGTACCAATTATAACTGTAAACCATTATTATGTAGAAAAGAAGCACAATGCTAATTAATATTAAATAGCCTAAATGATCTAAAATAGCTAGATAATTATAAAGATTACAATCAAACCCATAAAATATAAAGTAAAGTCCTAAATAACTTATTCTCTTAATTAGAATATCTCCTTTCTCCATCACCTAGATTTAGAGGCTAAAATATGATCTAGGATGTTATTATTATCACTATTACTTGTAGAGATGCCTCACAGAAAAAATTGACTATACATTTTCTTTCTAGGTGAATGTGAATGCTCATGGTACTTAACATTTGCTGCTTTTAAAAGATTAGTGGAAAATTTTGTTTTACCTATGGATAACCCTGATAAGGTGATTTTTACTTTACTGGTTCCAGTTTTCTGACTATGTTTTGTTCATCCTGCTAGTGATAAGGAAGCGAAGGAAAGAAGCCTTCTTTTCAGAGCTAGGCAAGACATCATTGCCAGCACGCGACTCCTCCAGTAAGGTTGGTTATTTCTTAACTATTTTACGAATTTCTTGCATCATGCTATATCATTCCATTTATCCTTCTTTTTTTCTTATTTGGGTATTATTGTTGGCAATCTACTACAATTTAGTTTATATGTCTGTCATCTTGTCTATGCTAAGCTACATAAAAACTATGTAATTGGGCTCAAATTAGCTGGAAACTTTCACATTAAATGCCTTTTTAATTATTTGTTTAGGCTCTGCAGAGATTTTTACTGTAATTGCTAACTAAATTTTATGACATGAAGGGTAATACATCATCTGATCCTAGGAATGATGAAGGACCTGCTTGGGCCCCGTTGCGTGATAATTACATGCTAACAAATCCTAAGTTGAAGGACTGGGACAAATTGGCGGTAAGAATGTTCATTCTCTTGAATGTTACACAAATCATGTTCATCTCTTTCTCTCTCTCTATCTCTCAAACAAATCATGTTCATCTCTTCCTCTCTCTCTCTCTCACACAGACATCAGATGTAAACATTCATTTAAGTGCAGGCAGAGACTGCGTGCATTTACCTTTTACTTTTTAGGTTAACAAATTTTGGTATGCTATTTGCGCAGGACCAAGCAATTGCTGATGATGTTGGAAGGATGTCTGAAGATAGTGGTTCAGATGGGGATTGATATCTCACATTGGTCATAGTGCTTTTGCGGCTGTTGTATAACAACAGAATTTTTTTTTCTAACAACTTCCCAATTCTGTGTAACGTTCTATTTATTCTTATATATATAAATGAATTCAAACCAGAGGAATGATTGCCTTTATGGATGCATGAAAAGGCAATGTTGGAGCATAATTGCCTTTATGGGTGCATAAAAAGGCAATGTTGGAGCATAGTTTGTTTGTTTGTTTATTTTTTTGGCTGATGATGTGTTCCACCGGGAAGCTAGAGCAACCAAACCAGAATTCCAATATATTATATTTTTTAATTATTAAAAATAAAAACATGAAATTTTGTTGCGTATCAATGCCATGCCCACTAATAATAACCGCTCCAAAGGTTGTTTGGCACTCAGGACGCATGAAACAACATTGTAACAGGGATGAGGTCATGCACATCTAATTCTGGTGAAGGAGGGGACACAGATGGGTCTTCTATCTCTTCATTCCTTTTTTTTTTTTTTTTCGGTTGTAGAAATCAGGCTTGTAGATACTAGACAATACAATTCCCTCCTGGAATTTTCATTTCCTCCGTTTAATGAGAATTAGAACCAGCTTTCCATTTTTCGGAATGTTGAGCTTCATACCTTCCCAATTGAATGCAAACTCCTGTTCTCCTTGAACCGTGCGAGATACTGTTAAGACGGCTCAACGGCGGGGAAAGCATGTGTTACAAAGTTGGTACTCCATGAATTCTTCTTGCTTGTGGTTGTCTGATATACTAAATTCCCAGCAAGCATTGCCGAAGTTTCAATGCCAAATGACAAATGTTTCAACTTGATGGCTGTGAGTTACTGCTAAGATCTTGGTTTTACCGGCATTCATGCTAGCCAAAATTTTACAAATGACAAATAACTCAAGGAACTCGTCCCATTGTATAGCACCTAGTGCTTAAGGCTTCAGATATTCAACAAGCTGGATTTTCTGGCAACCGATATCCTTTTGTTTCTGCTACTCTTTTTGCTAGTATAGAAACTAGAAAAACTTAAAAGCAGGCATGGAACCGACATTCCCACAGCAGGCGGCAGTCAAGAACAGTAAACACTGCCTATTTAAGTAACAAAACCCTTTCAAATTGCAGCATAGGTAGAATGAATAGCCTAAATCTTTTAAAGATGAAAAGTCATTCACATTCAATTTAGGGGAAATACAAGAATAGTAGATTTTTTTATTTTTATTTTTTGTATAAGTTATAAATAATTTCATCCTAGGTGCATTTGCTTAATCCAGTGCTGTACACGTCCACAAGAGAAGAATATTACAACTGCATGTTTCTTGTCTGACCTAGCAAAAGTTACTTGGGCAGATAATTAAAACTCTCAACTGCAAATACAAGAGATCTATGCTATACAAGTAATAAGAAGAAAGGAAGAGCAAAATTATAGCTGCACGCATTTTGCCTGTGAGTTGACATTGTAAGTTGGGCTTCTTAGCATGTCCTGGCAGCAGCAGCGGCTTTCATAAAAGCGATGAAAACAGCTGAAGGTATATATATAATCGTCAACAAAACGAACACCGAGCATAAATATGGCTTTGGACTACCCATAAGCATTTTCCTTTCCATACTAAGACAAGAATTGAGCAGTTGAACTTGCTCAAACGGTGGAAACCTGCGGCTTGGCAGCAAAGGCAATCAAGGCAGATGTCGCCAAATGATGTTGTGATCCATCAAGCTGGTAATGGAGAACCAGGCCTCCGCAATTTATTCATGGCATTTTTGTATCCAACTACTGATAAAACCTGGAGCCCTGTGATACAACCATACAGCCCGTCATTTAACTAGTTAAAAAAAGTATTAGCTTCAATTTCTCCATTTTTAGGCAAGAATAACCAATTCTTTCCAACTAACATCTTGTGTTTCTTTCCTTTTTCTAAGCATAGTTAAAAAAATTGTACTCTCAGTAGCTTCTGGTTTGGTTCAATGGATCATAATCATAGGCATCACCAGCTTTGACAAAGCGTCCCTTCACACGCTTTCTCACATCAGCCCTTGCTTTGCGAGAGGCATATCTTACTCGCTTTTCAAACCTATCATGCAACAAGGATGAAGTTAAACATACAAATTCCCCCAACAGGAGGCATAATATTTTAAAAAAAAAAAAAAAAAAAAAGAGGATTGCGAACAAGACTAACAGTCAAATAAAATGTTAAGACCCACAGCATAGATTTTATATCAACTTTCCATATGGATTGCCGATAAATATACGTAGAAGCAGACACAGGAATGCAAATCCACATTTCCTTACTAGAGAGCATCACAGTGAAACGAACTCCTTCAATGGCAAGAATAGTAACTAAAATGAACAGCTACTAACATGCACAGGTTACAGATTACAACACTGAGATAAAAGAACACAAATGTTAAAATGATACAGACACGATATATTTTTATTTGGAGGCATGCGAGTTCTGTTGCTTGGTCTAATACAGAAATGCAGACAACTAAATTGAAGCTTAAAGGCAAATAGAGAAAATCCCCAAGAAGAAAAACTAGAAAGAGCAAGAGAGGAACAATAACTCAGGGCAGGATTGTTTACTTAGTAAACCATATGCTAAATGGATCCATAGAACTAGAAATTCAAAAGCAGAAGAGGAATTAAAAGGAAGAACATCTAAATTCCAGATCTTTGTATAGCAAGAATACTAAAATCACAGTCATCAACCTAATAACTATATCTAAAGGTGGTCTAAGTCATATGTACATTTTATATGGGTTATTGGCATATACTTACTTCCGTGTCTTCTTCTTTTCCTTGTAACGCATGACAGCATTGCTTCGAGTTGCTGATGGGAAGGAGCTCTCAGTACATGGAGGACACCAAGGAGGCTCCCCCATGAGAAGCATTGATGAAGCCCCACAATCTTGGTAATCTCCTGCACTACTCTCTCCAGTAAGGCCTGAAAATGAGAGGCTTGAATGGGCCTGCCTTGCCGTAAAACACAGAATTGAATCAGTTTTATTGCTCATAATGGAATCAGCTGATGCTGCATTGCTGCATGCTGGCTGCATTGCATTGACCAGTCCAACAGATGAGCCCTGGACAAGAATATTTAGTTCCAAACATAAGAACATTTACCAAGTAGAAAATTGAAATTTTCAGGGGGGTTGAAATTATGGAATAATTCTTTACAGTATATAAGATTAAAGTGCCAATGTTCGTAATCAAACTGTTGACACATACATAATTTACAAGAAGAAAGTAGATTTATTAATAATCAAGAAGATACTGCAAAATCAAGTACTAGCATATTAGCAAACTTGAGGAATCCTTAATCTCATCACCAATAGTGATCATATAATCAAAACTGTCAAAAGAGGGATATTTTCCTGAAAAGGGAAGGACAGTAAACTTCCTTTTGGTACATTGGTCATGTCTGAAAATCAAGGTTACTGTTTTCCTATAGATACTACTGACCCAAGCAAAAAGGAATGTTTTCCTCTGATCACCATTCAAAGTGAAGACCCAGCAGATGAAAGGACAGTAAACTTCATTTCGGTACACTAATCATGACTGAAACTCAAGGTTAATGATGCTATTGATACCCCACCAAAATGAATAATTTCCTTTTGAGTAACAGAACAGAAAATTTAGTAGAAAAAAGTTACAACTATACTGAACATATAACATACCAACAACAAGAACTTACAACCCAAATGAACTTATACTTTACCAACAACTAGAACTTACAACCTGTTCATCAAATTAAAGCTTCTCACTACCGTCACTTTTTTTTTTCTCTATTTTAATTTGGCAAGAAATGCTTCCATTTTCACGTTATGGAAAAAAACTAATAGCTGAACTATTAAGAATACCAGGAAAAAAAGCGTAACATCTAGAAAAATGACAATACTATCATCAGAAAAAGATAAAGATACCAAAAAGCATTATCAAAAGAGATGAGAGAACCTTAGCAGCCACTGCAGCCTGACAGTTGGAATCAGCAGCACAGATGTCCATTCCAAATAAGCTATCGATTCCACCATTCTCAAAAAGTTCTTCTGAATGATTAAGAGTTACCCCAAAGAGTTCTTCATAGTTTTCAAGGCTCAAATCAACTTCATCCATGTTGAAGTCATCATACAGATCATCTTCACAAAGTCCAGGACACTTTGTTTGAGGGCAACAAAACTGCAAATTGATAACGTAAAAGCTATTAAAGGTTCCCAAAAAGGAACATATTATGTCTACCAATAATTAAAAGAAACGTGCAGAATTTTTCAATAGTTAAGTTTCCACAAATATGTCAAAAATGAACTTGGACCATCTAATGCTAAAATACTGTAGAATTACAAAAAGCAGAAGATTATTCTAATCACTCTTCTTATGATAAAAATAAAATTTTGATAACTTCCAACAATAACCTCAACCAACTTTCCCTGTTTCTTGTGTCCATTGCTTCACACTCCTCTTTTCCCTCTCAATAAAAATAAATATAAACTTCAATGATGTAGACAGGTGGGATTAGCCTAGGTCCAAAAAGTAATTCATGCATGTAAAATAGGAGAGATCTAGATTCCAAATTTATGAAACCATGGCAAAAATAGGCATAAGATTAAAAATATAATTGAGTACGAGGTTACTGATTTAGTAATTATACTGTGAAGGCTTAACTGAATAGTTCTCTACAATAATATCCTAAAACTTAAGTTGCTTTTGGGCCAAGAAATAGAAATATCTAAAGAGACAAATAAAAATACAAGCTGAATACAAGTTCACGGTATACTGTAGGTTTACTGACAGATTTACATCTCTTACATTTACACAAAAATCCAATCAAGTTGAAGTAAAATGATATTCTGGATGGACCTTGGATTTCCATCATAAAATGTAATCAAGAAAAGCAAGGAGTGGAGATTGGCATATTGTTCTTCCCCAAAAGAAACTAATCTGAAAAGAAAGTTGTCACTCTAACCTCAAGCTGGTTTTCTGGCCAGAAAGAGCAGTTATCACTGAAACTCACAGTTAATATGTTTTTCAGCATTAAGTGCAGACTGTTGAATGTGCTTGCAAATTTAAACCCATTTTCTCGAAATGCTTATCATAGTTATTTAGTATTGTCCCATGAAACTCCGATGGCAAGGGCCTGAAAGTAACTCAAGAACAGTTTATCTAAATTCTTTAAACATAAATATTCCAAATTCAATTTACCTTGGGCAATGATGTATCTGTTGATCCAGCTGGCTGTTCCAGAAGCCGTGGTGCAGATCTGAGTTCAGGAATTGAAGACCCACCCCAGCCACTTCCCTTATCAACATTGTGGTCATTATTAACTTCAGCAACACCAGTACTATTCTGGCTAATGGTGTTTTCTGTAGGGCCCCAAGAAGTCCTCTCTATGTTCTCAGTGATGCTCATTAGACCTAATTCCTGCTCACAAGTAGATTCACTGGCTGAAGGGGATTGCGAAAAAAATGACCATATGGAAGAAAGTTCCCCAGATGATGGGCAACCAGAGTAACAGTTAATTGTTTGTCTCTTATGTGTCGAATTTGAGGTAGAGGTACCATGACCCATCCAATCACAGTTCTGACAGAGGGAAACCCTTTCTTCTACACATCTAACAAAAGCAGGTTGTGAATTGCATCTTTCACATAACAATGTTCTCGAATGGCGTTTTGACAGTGCATTAGCAGAATGGACATTTCGATCACATGACAAACATAAACAGGCAGCATCAGACCGGCAATATACCATAGACGGTTGATCCCCACAGAAATCACAAATGTAACCCATTTTCCCAATCACACAACTCCTAATCAAAACATAAAACTTTTCTCCAAAATTTGCAGACTTCTAAGCAAACTATATATCAACCAGGGAAAGTAGCTTCTAAATGATCCCCAACTCCGCTATTTCTTCTTGCACTTCAATAGCTGTCACAAGAGAATTCAGTTCATGTTTGATGTAAAAACAAGCTAATCAATAAGAAAACTGGAATAACTATTCACTATATGGGGTAGCTTAATTACTTAAAATTTAATCATACAATAATGATACAGCAGAGGATCAAATTCTAGAAGACAATTTAATCATGGAAGAGTTCACATGATCAGCACCGTTTAAGGGTAAAAGTTTCCATTTTTTTTTTTATAAATCACAGCCAAAAAGTAAACAGTTTTAAGCACCCAGAAATAAACAGAAAACAAGAAATTATAGTCAAGAAGAGAATAGGCAAATGTGTAAAACACACATGTACTCACAACAGAGTAAGTAGAAGAGAAAAAAAATACCTCATCAATTTACAAAGTCATCCATGACGACTAAAACAGTCAAAACAAAATAAGAAGAAAAGAAAATAAACGAAAAAATGAAAAATGAAAAACTTTTTTTTTCTTTTAATAAAACGTAAAAAGCAGGGAAGTAGGCATTCCAAGAACAGAATTACAAGCAAAACTAATTCCATTTCAAAACATGCAAAATAAAAGAATCAAATATCCAAAAAAAGGTAAAAAATTTACCAGAAATCATAGAGAAAATTGGAACTTCAATCCAAAGATTTAAACTACATAATCAAAATAAAATTACAGATATAAACAGATTTAAGCAAAAGATAAGGATCAATAAACAAACCAGGAGACCCGGAAATACTAACCAAAATAAAAGTAAATCTAAAACCCAGAAATAAAATCAAAATTAAGTGAAGGAAAAGACCCAGAAAGGGAAATCAAATTAAAAACTAAAATAAACGAGAATGAGAAATTTACCGTGAAAAAAAAAAAAGAAGAGGACAAGATCGGATACTAGCTGTAATATTAAAATTTATTGAAAAAAATTTACAACGAGAAACCCTAGAACAAAGAGCTTTCCAGAATTTCTCTTCCTCTCTTTTTTTTTTTTTTGCTCTGTTCTTTCTTTTTTTTTTTTTCTCTCTGTTTTGAGTTTATGCAAGTAAGAGATAGAAATTGGTGGGTGTATATGGGAAATGTGATGACATAAGCTGATAAAAGTGCAAAGAGAGAGAAAAATAAATATTAAAAAATTGAGAAAAATTAAAATTAAAAAACGTAGTAAGTAATAAAGAGAAGGGCAAAATGGGAAAAAATGCAAAGTGGGCCCTGTCCTTTTCAATCGTGAAGGGAAAAAGTTAGGTCCCTCTTTGTTCTTGGTTCCTCGTATCAAATGCTTCCAATTCCATGTTTAAGAAAAATAAAATAAAACATATTTAAATATTTTCATGTTACAAAAAATTTTAAAAAATCTATAATAATAAAGCTCCAACTTTTAAAAGATATTTTATTACAAAATTTGATAATTTATATATTTATATTTATTTTATTTTATTTTAAAAATATATTAAATAAAAAAATTATTATATCCAGTCATTATTTTTACTATTAAAATTTTAAAATTTATGAAATAGAAGAAAATATATCTTGATATATAATTTCAAATTATTTGTTAAAAAAAAATTAACTTTAAACACCGTCCTCCTTTGGAGAGGAATTCTTCTAGTTGTGGACGAGGAAACTACTTTCTAGTGCTTCAAATCCAATAACAAAAGTACCGAAAAAAGTGAAGGCAAGGGATATGCTCCAAATAGTGTAATAGTACATTATTCTTATGCCACTTGAGAACTTGAGGTTGAGGGATGATTTTTCTTTTAAATATAGAATTGTTTTTGTGACTTTATCCTTTCATCCCTTCTCCCTTGGTGGATAAGAAAGCATATATGAATTATTATTATTATTATTATTATTTTGTAAAAAATAAAAAAATTTAAAAATAAATAAATTATTTAATTATTTACATTAAAATAAAATATATTATATTTGATAATTTAAAACAATTAAAACATGTGATTACAAATCGTATATTCGATGATCTCAACAAATAATCACTGATAATATTCAAATTCAATATCTTTTTATAAAAAAAATTTTAATTAATTAAATCAATCATTTATTATTATTATTATTATTATTATTATTGTATAAAAGTGTCACTTACTTTCGTTACTGGGTTCTCTTTCCATGGTGCTTTAGTTTCTTGACAATTGTTTTTTATATAAAAAGATTATCGGCTCTAAGGTATTGTAAAGATTGCAAAATCGTCCAACTATGTTAGTAGCAAGATAATTTAATATTTATATGTTATTACTTATTACGAACACCATTAAAATATAATAAATATGAAAATGCAAACGATTTATTCATAAATATAAACGTGTTCTTAAATTAAGATTAAATATCAATAAATTAAAAGAAAAAAAATTGGAAGTGTTTAATTTGAGAAAGGAAAATCGGATTCAATTATTTTAGTAAAAGAATACATGTATAGAGAAATTATCATTGAATTAAATATGTGAATGTAAAAAAATTTTGCTCGTAAAATTAAAAATAAAAGGAAAATTATAGTTAGAGGTAAGAGGCGCAAAGTAATTAAGAGAGAAAGTAGGCAAAGAAGAGGGGAGAGCAGGGAAAAAATTGTGGGGGTAACAGTAGGGGAGTAGACGGGAAGAGGGAGCAGCAGCAACAACTATTTATTCAGATAAGGCGTTTGTAAGTTGTACGTAACGAGCAACTTGCTGCACCCAGAAAATGACATGTGAGATTCAACCCCACAAAAGTGATTCACTTTTTCTTGTTTTTTAATCCTAAATACCCAAACTGCCCTTCTTCTCCATCTTTCCATGATTGATAAATCTTATTGTTATACCAACAACATCCCACATGTCCGTCCCCACCCACTCAAAGTTTCCCTTTCTCCCTAAATTTTCTATATGCCCATAACAATAAGTGTTCACTTTTTCATCAGCAAATCAATAGGGAAATGTTGACTGAACAGCCCTCAGCAGAGCAGGAGGTTTCACACCTAGCCAAGAACCAACCTGAAAGATGAAAAGAAACCTTCCCCTTTTTTTTTTTATGAAGAATCTAAAGTTACCCGAGAGTCAGCTTTTGATTCAAGCTGTTAAAGAATCAGAATGGAACAGTTGTTTAATTTTAACAGGATAAAGCAGCTCCAATACATGCTTAAAACAACATCAAGTACTCTCTTCCAATCCAACTTTCTGAAGATTCCAAGATAGAATTGTCAATTTCATAAGTCACAACCAGTTTCTTTAGAAGCACAAGAAAGATAAGAGAGATCTTGATCCTTACCTAATTGTCAATATGATGTTTTAAGCATAAAGTGAAGTTGACTCCTGCAACAAAAGAGTTTTTGTATGAAAGAAACGGCTTATCCTCTTTGATCAAATCTAGGACAGATCAGAAAGCCCTTTTTCAGGGGGTAGATTTCTCTCTCCTTTCCTTTTGAAAGAAAAAAAAAATCTTCTGTTAAAAGACAGGAGGAAAATGTATTTGGGAGGATCTTGTTTATCAAACTTTTTGGACACAGAAACCTGGACTGCTAAATCAATGTAACTTACGCACGTGGCAGTTGGAAAAATAATCCACGTCTATAACTCGCAAGACAGGTTTGTGCATAACTAAACAAAGTTTGACACAATACTAATTGTAGGCACCATATTTCGGTAGACTGAATTATTGTTTTGGAATTGAAAAACAAAAAGATAAAAAAGGATAAATTAAGTAACAAGATTTTGTGTTTGAAATTTAGAGTTTGGATTAAATTTTTAAAATTTCAGTATCATTTTAAACTTAAAATTCAGATTGAGGGATATGATGCTTGATCTTTGAATTGGCATCCTATCTGTATAATTTTTATATAAACCATTGTTCAGAACACAAAAGGAAAACAATGAAGAAACACACAGAAGAAAATAGAGAAAAATACAAAAAAAATCATCGAGAGTTCTCCCCAGCAACCCAATTCGATCACCATCTCTTGCCAACAGCTGGAACCTGTTTCTTTTCACCACCATCACCATTAGCCCACTGTCAAGCCATGACCCTGGCCCCGTCATCAAACCCTCACTCAAACGGCCACCCGTGAGCCAATAACCCATTTCAACCCAACACCCAATTTCTAGCATCCAAGTCCCAACTACAACCGTTGATAATTTCCCTATCCACTCCAATAATCAACCTAAAACCAACACAGACCAAGCAAACCCAAAAACATTGATCCAATTTTCAGGTAATCAGCAGCTTGTTGTCGCTTGAAATCACTCAATTTCACAATCACAAAGACTACAATACAACCCAATAAAGCCGACAATACACAGAGAATCAAACAGCAATCAGGACAGAGGCAAGAGCATCTAACAGAGACCAGTCCAGTGCACCCAATTTTTTTAGCCAATTTCCAGCAAGCCATCAATAACAGTTAATCCTCAATCACATGCAACCATTACACAGAAATAAAAACCCAGCATAATTTCCATTTTTTGCCCAAGTCGATCCTGTCATTACCATCATTAGCTCCAAACCCGATACATAGAGGTAGGAACGCTATAGTGGAAAACTGCCAGTACAACGTGAAAGAGGAGACGACGAACAACTTTCTGGCAAAATCTTCGAGTTTTTCGGTATTCGGTGAACGGCCAACGGGCGGCGGCAGACGGCGGCGTGCGGTGGCGCTAGCATCGGAATCTGGAAACCCTTGAACTTTTCGGCTGTTTTCTTCTGATTTTAGTGAGTCAGAGACAACAAAAGCTTTTAGAGAGAGCAGAAACTGAAAATCTGATGGAGAAGGCAAAATTTTAGGCTTTCATGTTCGCGTGAAACGACCCCATTTCATTTGTTAAAAATTCAGCTGACCCGCGTTTTTTTGTTAACCCAGCCCGTGTTCAGTTGCCACCCAAGCCGCTGGCCCATGTCTTCAAGTCGAGCCTGAGCCGTTCTTCAAGCCGTTTCGTAAAGGAGAGTCGAGCCACAGTTAGAGCTTAAGCTAGCCGTTATTGTTTTGGTTTCTTTTTTCATCTTTTTGTTATTTTGCTTATTATTATTTTCTTATAGTGCAATTTAAAAAATAATAATAAATAAAAATATTTTCAAAAAATGATGACAATTTTCAAATACCACTAAAAATATTTCAAAAAATATTTTAAGAAAAAGCCAAAATATTAATTTAAAAAATATATATTTATGAAGAATATTTTGAAAAAAAATTAAAAATATCAATTTTCTTAAATAACAAAAAATATTTTAAAAAATATTTTAAGAAAAAATTAAAGTATCAATTATTTTTAATAAAAATATTTTTAAAAATTAAAGTATCAAATTTTTTAAATAAAAAATATCTAAAAAAAATTTTGAAGAAAAAATTAAAAATATCAATTTTTTCTTAAAATTTAATTTTTAAATATTAAATAATCCGACAACAAAATATTTGCAAAAAAATAATAATTTTCTTATATATTTTTGAGGTAAAAAATTTTTCTTTTAATTTTTTACCAAAAATATTATAATCAATTAAAAATAATTTTCAATAATTAACTCTGATAAATTTTTTAAAAAAATAATATAAAATTAAACTAATATCATCTTTTGATGACATTGTGAAAATGCTATAACTTTTTTCATACATAACCAACAATCATACTCTTAAATTTAGTTTTAGTTTCATAAACATTGAATTTATTTTTTAAAATACCTGAATCAAATTTATTTTTTTTTTTAAAACGAAACAGATTCATTAAATAATCAATTACACTTAAAAAAAAAATATTAGTGACATTTCTTTTAATCATATCTAACGATAAATCCAAAAATTTATACATTATGACACAGTATGACCAACCAAAGCTATATTCACATTCAACACATTGTCATTTTCTAAAAAAAAAAACACATTCAATGTCCTACGCTGGCTTAAATGGTCCACAGTACGTATAAATCAGGTGGTCCTGTATTTACAGTTTCAAACAATAATGATATAGACACGCCAACAACTAAATTTAAATTCTTACTAGGGAACTTTTCTTCTTCAGAGGAAGATAAGCTAACCTTATTAGCAGGGAAGGGCTCTCATTGCATTTCTGAAAAATACACTGTCCGAACTGTTCACAATGCTAAGCTTCAATCTACAACGCTGAGAATGAACATCACCATTTATTTCTCGAACATTAACAAGCTGATTCCTGCACTAGGCTTAGCTCTTGGATATCTGTATCTTTGTTAGTCCTCAACCATTAATAATACTACAAAAAGATGAAAAGATTAGCCTGCATTTAATGAAGGCAGCTTTTAAGTTTTTATAGAGTGCATTTCACTTCAAAGTCGTTGAATTCAAGTAAAGTGGCTACTTTAAGGTACTCTTATACAAATATTTACAGAAAAATTGTTCTACAAATTTGAGAAAGAAATCCAATCTACCATTTACTAAAGATATCAAGGCACGCCGTCACCTTTGCATAAAGAAACAGACATAATGCTCAAACAAGCAACAGAGAGAGAACTTCAACAAATTGTTGATGTTTCTTCTGTCTTCTTTTAAGATGTTAAAAAACCTCATCCCCTTCCTGAAGATTGCACCACCTGGGAAACACACCTACAGAGCCTTATAACCCTAGAGTATCCAGCTCTAAGGTTCCCAACTGCAACCTTTATTTCAGCTGAGAGTGGCCGATGCTGTAAGTTTTCTGCCCCAACGGTGGGAGTCTGTAAATGGTAAGGTACTATCTCTGAAGGATAAACCCCGCTGTTAAGAAACCAAGAAATAAGACAACTCAGTATAATTATTTGAAAAATTATAACAAAACATATTTACCTTGATGCCTGTTGATGCATAATGTAATATTTTACAATGATGCTAGCACATACAACAATGAGCAGCCACCCTACAGTGCACAGAATTAATATTTGTATATTTAGACAACAGGATCTACTTGAACTTGTAAAGAATTGTTATCTAAATTTCACTTGTGATACAATCTGAACCACAAATAAAGACTATGATGACGTAAATAGAGTTCTATACTGATGGCACTTTTATGGCAAGACCAATAATATAACATTTCAAGAAACAGTAACCAGTCAATCCAAAGTTAGGCAAGCCGAACCCATACTCTAAATATTATCTGACTGTTTGAACTACAAATACGTTTACTGGAAAGGGAAAAAACATTAATTTGAAGTCTAAAATAATTAATGAACTGAATCAATTCATAGAAACTAATATAAAATCAAATGAACAAAGCAATTACAAACTCCTTGGAAAAGATCAATGCTCCTTGCTCTGAATATATTATATGGTTGTTATAAATTAATCCATTCCCCTTAGAGCATAAATTTATTAACCACGTGAAAAAATCATCTATCTAACCCAGGCAATTCAGCTATAAGATAAAGCATCAGATTTGCAAAATGCTTATCAGTTTAGAAGTTTAAAATACAATTTATGCAAGACTTTACCAGTTCAAACACGTCACGTCAAGAGTCATCATCACCTTTATACCACTGTCAAAATCAATGAAAGCAAGCTGCAAATCCAGCTGCTTAGCTACAAAACAACGAGGTACTATCAAGTTTCAATCTGACAAAATATGTTTTTTTCGGCAGACTTAAGGCTTAAAACTGGACAAACAAGAGAAAACAGGGGGTATAGTGAATGGAAAAATGGTAACTAAGTCAAGCCAACTGAGCATTCCAACATAGAACAGGTTCTTTGGCAAATTGATATTACAATGATTTAGGATCTAGGACAGCCAAGAAGAGCAATGAATACAATTAATAAACAAACAAACGGCATAAATTAGAAGATCACGCTGGAAATCAAGGGGCAGATGACAACTAGGAAGCCATGATAATGAAGTTACTATTGTCCCTTTGTGGACATGAGTGCAAAAATAATTCACTCAACAGAGATTTAACTTTGCCAAGCCATGTAGTGGCTATGCGCAAACATTTTTACAACCACACTATGAATACAAGTAATTGGATCAGACAGAAGCATTAAAATTTTAAGGGTCTTGCACCAGTCATCCAATAAAAGAGTTTACCTTGAGTGTGTCCAACTGACCGAAGAAAGAGCCAAGGAAATAAAAATTCTTACCATTATTATTTTCATGACTGTTATACTATCCTAACACTAGTTAATAAAAACATCTAGAAAGCCCAAATTGGTAGCTCCATTCCAATCAATAAAAACTAAACAAAAAAACAAAAAAAAACAAAATGAAAGAATAAATAAGACAGTTTCAAGGCCAGATAAACATGCATAGGCTTCAAATGGCATTATATCCAACAAGAAATGTGATCTAGTCATCCATCTCTACTTTGGTTTCCTGAAGAAAAGTATCAAAATTTAAATTCTCCTAAGCCATTGATTCAAGAATTTAAACCGTGTTGTCACAATCACAAATCAGGAGAACATAATAAGGAGGAGACAAAAGAGTACCTGATGGAGAATGGAAGCTAGTTAGTGTCAGATTTCTAATCTCTAACTGTGCTATCTGTACTTCCTCAACCACATCCAGCAGATTTCTTAAAAGTGAACTGGTTCTCTGCATAATCAGAACAAAATAAAATGAAAATAGTTTCAAACATTGCATTTGTCCTGAAACACTGAAATTTGTAAAATAACAAGTATAATGCACTAGGAAAATCTCAAGTAAAGTTCAAAACACTAAGTTTGAGCAAAGATAACTGCAGGAAATCACAGAATCACTTGCTCAAAACTCGAAATATGTACTATATCTTCATTCTAGCACAACCATAAATGAAAGCACAAGTATGGCATACTTTTGTGATATAAGTTAAAACTGAAATAAGTTGTTTTACTTCAGAAGAGAAAAGCAGAAGACACAAGACATTATAAGACAGAAGTACTTACTTGTGTTTCTTGTGCCAAAGTCTTTGGCCCAACATACTTCTTAGTCGATTCATGGTTAAAGACAAAAGCAAATGCAGAGCAAGAATCCATGTTTGGGAAGTTCTAATGAACAAAATCAAAATTTAAAGATAAGAAAGACAAATGAAACAAGGAAAAAAAGAGACGACTTCATTTAAATGGTTGACTTTGTTACCTTACTGATGTTTATATCATTCAATTTGTTTGCAACAAAAATGCTTGAATTTGGACCAGCATTTAATGTGAGACTGCAGATCACCATAATGTAAGAATAAATGTAAAAACATACACAAGTCTTCGTCAAAGAAAAATACAATAAAAAAAAAACCTCTGGCAGATGAACCCATGGTAGTTGAGAATAACATTGTGATGGTCATTCCTGTTCTGCAAATTATCAACCTCCCACAACTGATGAAATAAAAGACAAATTACACCTCAGTCACATAAAATAATTTCCAATGTGTTTAGAGAAGAATAACAGTGAGAGTTAAACAGACCTGAATATCCTGGCGTATAAATCTGCAACAAGTTCTCTTCTTTAGATGATCATTGACTAATTCAATAGTATCAGAACAACTCAGTTCTCCCTTTATCTTGCAGTAAACGTGAAAAGACTTGGTTAAATTTTTTATTTTCTTCTCCAGAGCTTCATCCTCATGCTTCATTGTGGTGACTTTATCACTCACTCCCTGTCATGATTGAAGATATAAAGAAAACTTAGCATAGAAACCACAAAATTTACCAAATATAAGTTACCCATATCTTCTAAAACAATATAAGAGGCACTGAGCAATTCAACTGTTAAACACAACCATGGGAAGAGACAGTGTGAATCATAAAAATTAAGAATACTGATTTTGATTATAGCTAATGGAATGCTAATAGCATCATTCAAAGCAACAGATTTAAGAGTTCACCAAATACTGCCTGTGGTATGCTTTAAGCTGAATGATAATAGTATTTCACAATATATAGAAAACAATACCCTTAAAATATAAAGATATTGCTTTTATTATTTTGAACAATCACATGACATATAGATGTAATCATCCAAAAAACTATGATATCATACTCCAAATAAAGTCAATAAAACTTTTAAGCAAATATGTGCCAGAATCGTCCACCATAATAATTCCAACTTTCTTCAGCATTGAGATACCTTAAAAGGTTAAGAGGAAAATAAATACTATTCTGCATCCAATTTAGGTTGGTATAAGTGTAAGCTCACAAATACCGACAACAATAAAATACAATAGATACACTAAAAAAAGCAGTCAGAGAAAATTCTTAGCCACTCAAATGGCTTTGAAAGAAATTAAAACGCACTATTGAAATGAAAATTGAGAGCCATATGAACCCAAACCCAATGTGGGTTTCATTTAAAATAAATCATGGTTTAGCATTTGTATGCCATAGTGCTTATCTCTGGAGCAGTACCTTTTTCCTTTATAACCATTGGAGTATACAAATTAAAAGGATGAAATCCGTAGTAAAATAAAGCAGAAAGATGGTGCAGCAGCCTTTATAGCCCAAAGGACATACAGAAATTATCCACATCTTATAACTGATAAGCATACCTCAAGGTTGTTTCTAAATGTAACTGAAGATGAATTATCACCAAGTTGAGTGTCTTTTTCAGCAGAAACAGATGGATGCTTGACCCAATTTAACTTCAACATTTGAGACTCCCAAACTCCAGTTCTCAGTAACTGTACCTCTTTCTGCAGTGAGGAATATAGGCAGGTAACAAAGAATACACATTTGAGTGGAGTGAAAAAAAAAAAAACCGAAAGGAAAGAAAATACCAGCAATCTTTCACGCTTCACATGCATCAACTGCAATTTAGCCTTTTCATAGACTATTCTGTTGAGCAATGGTCTTGTTTCAGCTACTCTGCAAGGACATCATTTCAGCAACTTTACCACTTGTAACGCTAAACCAGTTTCCATATTAATTACAGAAACTAATACTAGTCACATTAAAGATACAGCCATGAGGATAGAAAGAAACCACCTCTTAAGCAAAATATTGCTGGATTCATGATATGCCTGCTGACAGCAACACATAAGAACAGTATCAGCAATATGATAGTCTAGGTTGTTTAGAGTAAAGGGAAGCAATGAGTGCCCTGCAAAAAGTAAGTTTGCAATTTTACTTACTGAGCGTAGCTGAGACTGGATTTCTGAGCAAAGCATCTCTAATTTATTAACCTTCTGCTGATGAAGCAATTTATCTTCCAACATGTTTATCTGCACATTCAAATTATTGAGGCAAAGCAAAAAGGAAAAAAAGGAAACTATTGCATGGGAAATTAGGTTATGAGAAGATGTTATCAATATTTATAAACTGTATTTTGAAAAATGTTGTAACTGATGCAGTAAATTACAAAAACAAGATATGTACCATTTTTACATTTAGTTTATCAAAACATGGAGACAGTAGCTGATTGGTAGCTGCCGATAGTTTGAGATAAATCTGCAATATGAGCTCTAAAAATCAAATTCAACAGTAAGAGTAACAGGAAACTTTTGCACTATACATCAGCAAACCTGGATGTTCAACAAATTAGGTACATACTACACATACATCAGTCCAATTCATCAATGTTTTGCCACCTTCAGTCCTTTCATTTTCTACGTTACTTCCATTCAAATATTCAGACATATGCTCCCTGTTATTCTCTTCAACTTTATGAAATTTTGGACTCTGCTGGATACAGTTATTTTTATCTGCACAGTGTACATCTACAATAGCTACTTCTTCACTTGTCCTTTTTCTTTTTGAAGAGTTCTGAATGTCTTGGACAGGACTTGGATTCTGTGTATATCTTTGATGACAGTCATCGATCCTTTGTACAGTTGAACTGCAGTTAATAGATACCACATCTTTTGCAACAGAGAGTTGCATATTATCACCATGTAATGCACTATGCATTTCTTTCACACAGGAGCTTAAATTTGGCTGTTTTGAAGTGGGACTCTGAATTTGCTTCTTTTTGGAGGGGCTCTGAGCAATCATGGCACCAGAGTTCAAATATCAGCCTTAATATCAATTAAGAGCTAGTATTGACATTAAAAAACAGGGAGATTTGATTGCAGTGCAACTGAGAATGAGAGAAGATATAGAGAAAGAGATATACCTTTTCAGGCAACAGCTCATTTTTACTTCCATGTGCATCTGGGGAAACAAAAGCAGAAGAAACTTTCATCTGTTCCCCAATAAAATATTTGCTGGGCCGGTTTATTTCAACTGCAGTCTGGATGTTTTTTTCTGGGCTTCCTGACTGCAATTTCAGGGCAACCCCATCGGGGAAGTTCTTCGAGGTTTCAGAAGTATTCTGCAAAGAGTCTGTTAAACGGTTAACCTTAATAAGCGGTGAGCTGGACTGTGTTCTGTTTTCACATGTTGCAGTTAAATTGCTACTGCTAAGAACTGTTTCTACTGAGTTGCACTCTCGCCTGGAAACAATAATGGCGTTATTATTCTGATCATGAAGCTTTAAATTGCCCAACAGACTACCTTTATGTTCTGTTGGTGATGACAACTTCCCATTTAACCTGTTCACCAGAGGAGAAACAAGCTTATAAAGCATATCAGTATCTCCCTTATCTTGGCTAATGTCAAGAGTGATCTCCGTTGGTGAGGAATTAAATGTAGAAGCTACTAACGTCCCATCTACAGAGTCTACTGATATCAAAGAATGATGCATCACTTTCTTTCCTGAGTGAGAAAAATTAGATGGTGAGGTAAATTTGGCCAATATTTCAGTAGAATTGTCATTATGTTCTTTATCTTTCGCATGTCCTGTGGTCCCTCCATCTTGGCTCAACCTACTGATGTTTTTTGGAGTTCCAAGACCATTGCAATCCACCTCCCCCTGCTTCAGACCAACACCAGACAACTGCTCCTCTAGATTATTAGTGGGGGCAGTTGCCTGTTGGCACTGAAGACCCTCATTCATTTCCTCCATAATTGTATTGAATGAACAAGCTCTTGAAGAAGGGGACTCTGATAATCTGCATTTTGACTTTACAGCTCCATTATTAAAAGCAGAAGCACAGGGAGAAGGCTCCAGAAATTTTAACTCGGAATTACTTTTCAGAATGGATGGCACACTCTCACCTTGTTTTATGCTTCCCTTACTCAAAACAGAACCTGATTGTTTTGTTGAAGGAGTAACAAATAGTGCACGTCTCGGTGAACTTGGAGTACCCAGAAGAATTTGTTGTCTTGTAGCAGATATTGAGTGTATGGACCCTGCTAATGGAGACCCATGTGGTTGACTAGAAGCATGACCAACATTAGAAGTATGTCTTTGATCCTGAGGAGAATTTTCTTTCAACCCATCTCTAGTTGGAGGCTGATTTCCATATTCAAACTGTTTCAACAAATTTAACTGAAAAGCTTCACTATTCTGATTCAGTGGAGTACCAGTAGCAACAACAAGGAACTCAGAATTCAACAAACTTGTTCCAGACACAACTTCAGAGATCTCCTTGTTTCCCTGAAATTGAAACAGTTAAACAAGAGTGCAAATCCATGCCTTAGTTCCTCCTGAAGAAAATGGCGATAATAACTAAACAATGAAAAAGTATATAAATATCATTCACCATCTCCAGCTAACGGTGTCTATGGAGGAAATATATGAAATTGTCTCAGTGAGAACCACTGTAGTAACCCTTCATGAGCTGACAAGGGCAATAACTGCATCTATGACATGTCATTGAATAGAAACATAAACTTCTAAATAGTATAGAATTACATCCCAAATTTCAAAATGAAAAGGAGATGACTTAGCAGATGTTAGGATAGAAAAGAACCATTGTATAAATGAAAACTCCAAGGATCCCCCCGTGTAACAACACCCCACTTGAGTGTACTTACTAAAATTACCAAATTAAAGTATTAAAAAGAAAATAACCAAAACATTGAGAAAAACAATCTTAAGTAACAATAGATTGATAGGACAATGTATTTTGTTCACTGAAATCACCAAATTAAATTATTATAAACAAAATAACCAAAACATTGAGAAAAGGAATCAAGGTAGCATCAGATTGATAGGAGAACGCACTCTGTTCAGCCGATTAGGAGTTTGGATTTGATGATCAACAAAATCCTCCACAATTGGACCATCATTTGTGTTTGACAAGCAGTCACGCATAATTTGATCAATAAGAGTGGTTGTGGAATCACCTGTTGCCTCAACCAGTTTGTTATGAGCAATAGAAATGCCCTCACCAGACATATCATGATTATTACTATTGCAGAGCTCTGGATTCCCAGAATTTGAGGGCTCCATGCAGTCATTCTCATTATCATGAAATATGGCACTCATTGTTAACTTTGGACTGGTAGAATCAGAAGCAGGGATGGCATTAAACTCCTTACTGCCTTCTGCCAAAAGTGCTTCCAACGTGGGAGAGAGCCTCCCATAATCATACCTATGCATGCTTTCTCCAACAAGACTCATGTCATTAGAATCTCTACCACCACTAAATTTATTAATAGGTGCAGGTGACGGAGACTTTAGCTTCTTCACATTTGTTAACACCATAAAGCTTTCTGGATCAGAAGGCATGGTAGCTTGGAACGGTGTCTTCTCTTCAGAAGCAAGAGGAACTCCTGTTGAAGTATTGAGATCTCCTGACTCTGATCGCACAATGCTACGAAAATGCATCGAAAATGCTGTCGAATCCATTGTGATATCATGGTTATCATCTGAAGCAGCACAATCAGATAACCTTCCAGGTCGAATAAAGTTTGCAGACACAGGTCCAAAGAAGTTGTCTTCTGCTACAAGACATTTGAACGAACACTTCAAAACATGGCAATTATTAGCATTAACCATTTTATTCATTAGATTTCTCCTAGAAGTAGAACATAAATATTTTCTATGTCACAAAATTTTAAGAAATTAAACATTACTTAGCCTCCTTTTGATTAATGCTACTTGCTTTTAGCTTTATGAAAATTGATAAAAAGTAAGAATAAAACGTAAAAAGCAACATCATAATTGATTTAAAATGAGTAGATAATTAAAATCTAACACCAATTATAACATAATTAGTCTATGTAGAAGTAACATCACCAATCAAATGGAGCCTAAAAATTGCTAAAATGTAAAAAGAAATAGTGAAAAGAAAATTTATATCTGATAAAAGATTAACAAAATATTAAAACAAGATGGCCAAAAAAACAAAACAAAAACAAAATATTAGAACATAACTCACCTTCAAACATAATTCTTATATATAAAAGTAAAATAGAGCATTTTATCGTTCACCAAAACTAAATTCTTAAGTTTTAATTATTCAAGACATTACTATGTGCTTTTATATCAAAGTCACAGTTTTTGTATTTTGCTTTCGAAAACTGAAATAATTAACGAAAATGCCAACCAAACCACGCTAAAACAATTGTAAACCCTAAATTTTATCGAACTAAAACAAATCCTTACTAATAATTAACAATGCAATCCAAACTAACCATCATTAGAAGTAGCAGATCCAACTGTGCTACTTCCACCGGGAGATGGCGACTCCATCGGCCTCAAGAACGACTTTCTCACACTCAAAACGTCGTCGTCTTCATCCTCATTGCCATCACCACTGTTAGAGTCGTCACTATCCACCAAATCACTGAAGAGACCCAGTAATTCCTTTTCACGTTCAGTGGCTGGTTTGGGAGTGGAATCCGGCGGGGTCTCGTAGTCGTCGTCGCGGTTGAAAATATGGACGGAGGTGATCTCGCGGTCGGCGAAGCTAACGCGCCGCGACCGTTTCTTCCTCAAGGCGATGGTTTCTTCGTCCGTTTCCTGCGTGTTGCAAGGTGGCTCGTCGGGAACCTCGGATGCCATTCTTGCGAGAGAGAGAGAGAGAGAGAGAGAGAGAGAGAGAGAGAGTGGGGAAATTTAGGGAAACAGGGAAAATAATTTGGGGATTTGCGGAATTAGGGTTCAGAAATTGAAGTGCATTTTGTTTTTCTTCTGTCTCAGTAGGGGTATGGGGACTGGAGAGTGGCTTTGTGCGGGAAATATGGCGTGAGAATTTTGAAATCGCGGAAAGCCCTTTTTTATCAGGAAAGTTTTTACTATTTTTTTTATAGATGAATATTATATTTTTAGTCAGATCTGATGTAGACTTTTAATGATTTTAAATTAAATATAAAAAATTAATAAAAATAAAATTAATTTGAAGAATTAATTATAAAATTACTTAAAAATGCATTATTTACTTAATTATTTTTAGACGAAGTAATGAAAATCTCTATTATATTTCACGTAGTAAAGAAGATTCTCATTTTTGTTGATTAATATCATGAGAAATAGATGTTAATCAGACTTTATTTAATGATAAAAAGAAAATCTTAAAATTCTGAAATTTAAGTTTAATTTTTATTATTTAATTTTGATTGTTTAATTATATTATAATTTATTAGTTAATTATTTAATAATTACTATTTGATTTACTCTTATTTAATTAAAAAATTATCATATATTTTTATTATAATATAAATTTGTTTTAGATATATCTTAAGAAGATATGTTTCAACTTCCTAATTCCACCGTCTTGTGATAAAAATGTGAAGAGAGTTAAGTGAAAATTTTACTACTATATTTAAGTTACCATGCCATTTATTTTATTGAAAAAAAAATTAGAAGAGTTATTTTAATTTTTCTTTAAATGCAAAAAAATATTGTTAGTATATTGTTACGTCTCTTCTCTAATTATAAAAATAAATTTCTTTTAAAGAGATTAATTTCATTATAATCTAATTTTGTTGTCATTCATACAAATATTTTTAAAAAAAATCAAAATGCAAAAAAATAGATTTATCAACAAAGCATTAATTCCTTTAATAATTGGCCATTTCTATTATTTTAGTCCGTAAAGATTGGTACAAAATTTTGCATTTTTTATTCTCTTTTAATCTTTCACTTATTTTATTTTTAATTAAGTCCTAATGTTTTCCCTTTCATGATTATTTTTATATTTTCATAATTTCGTCAAAAAATAATATTTATTTGATTTATTTGAGGTTTAAAATTTGTCTATATTAAATATTTATTATTTTTAAATCTACATTTGCATATAAACATACAAATATATGTAATGATAGTGTATTTGTATGTGTATATAGTTTATAGACAAAATCTAAAACCCATACATCCCAATATCCCAAAAAAAAAATAATAATAAGGTCAATCGATGATTCGTTAAAACCAAAACCTCATTGATTATGCGTTTTTTTGTCACACATCTTTGATTAACATTTTTAATAGGCCACTAAAAAATAGTAATATATGAATATAGAATTTCTATATTTTTAAGACACGTTGGAGAAGGAGAACATTGCAACTATGATATATTGTTATGGGAATCTTTCTTTTTTAACCACTAGAATTAGGTAAAAAAAAAAAGAAGAAATAGGCTTTCGACATCTCATTGATATAGAGAGAAAAGACCTTCAAGGCACGACAGTTCCTACCATGTCCGACAAATATGGAACATGTTAGACTACCTATGTAATGTAAACAAAATTTGTAGCGCTGCACTTCCTATCGTATCTAAGACAATACAAAAACATGGGCCTCAATTGTTTACTAATAGGTGCTACCATTAATATCCTACTGCAAAGTAGGAAAGAATCATAAATTTTATATCGATTGTGTATTAAAATTGATCATAAGATATAAAAATTCTATCATTTTTTTTTTACGAGACGTTTTTTGTGAGATAAAACCGTTTTGTGAGACATCTTTTGTGAGACAAAATCGTGAGATTAAAAGAATTAAAGCAGATAATAACTCATAAGTTGATATAAAACCATGACAGTTAAGTTGATATGAAACACGAAATAAGTCATCCTTGTGTCCCGAAAGTGCACAAGCTTGAAGCTTAATGACAATGTGTCACAAAAAATGGTATGCCTGGAGCTTAATAGCAATTTACCACTGAAGATGATGTGCTTCCGTTGGAGTGAGAGAAGATGCTACGATCCTAAGAACGAGCTATGAATCCCACATTGATTGTGTAGTTGATCATAAGATATAAGTATTCACACCATATTTTCCTTATGAAATGTCTTATGTGAGATAAAACCATTAAGCCAAGGTGGTTGAAACAAACAATATATCACAAATTGGTATGAAAATATATATATTTTTTGTGAAATAAAATCATGAGGTCAATGGATCGAAACGGATAAAATCTTACAAATTAATATGAACCGTGACTGTTAAATTGATTTGAGACACAGAAGAAATCATCCCCATGTCGTGTGACCTGAAGCTTAAGTCTTGTCTCGTGTCATAGAAACCCGTCACAATAACTTGCATTTAACCATAGAATGCACGCCATGTCTCTCCATCACCACTAGCTGACTTGGTTGTTGGAATCCAATTAGTTTTAGTTTGTTCTCTGTGGAACTATGTGCCAGTGGTGCTTGCCACCAGCTCTCTGGTCTCGTGCAGGGTCTGAAAAATCAATTCCGAGAATTAGCTAACATATGCAAGTGCCAGGAAAAAAAAACATGAAATCCATTGACGGGCAATGATTCACACCCTTTCAGAGTATGAATCAGTATGAATCTGCTTTTGCACATCATTCCTGGCTTAATCTATTTAAGTCATATCACATTTGCTTAAAATTGCCAAAGAACGAATACCTTAAGGTCCTCGCCTAAAGCTTGATTAAATGGGCTTTGGATTCTTTGCCAGACCATAATAGAAGTAGGCAAGTTTGCAGCACGGACCAGCTGAAGAAAGCAGGCTAAAGGCTCATAATTAATTTCTAAAAATGGAGGTGGTTTCTGGGTTTTGGAAGCAATGGCTCGACTTACATCGGTCTCTGGGCCTACTTGAATAACATAAAGAGGAAGCTTTCTCTTCTTTTGTTGTCAATAATCCACCTTTCAACTAAAGTTTTGATGCCGTTACAAGAAAAGGGGATGTGATAGTGGGTACGGTAGATGATATGTTCTCTGCATCTGCAATTTTAGCCAGAACTGAATTTATAGCATGTGACAGTTCGGGTGGCTCCAAATGATGTAGCATCACCACTGTTGTCTGAAATGGAGCAAAAGGAAAGATAAAATTCCAGAAATATGCTGTTCAAAGTCATCTTTCTATTTATTGCTCATAAAACCAAGATGTTTCATGCAATTATTCAGGGTTAAAAAGAAAAGCATGCCACCTAGTGATATTTCAGGAGCAATAATTCATTGGATTGATACACCCGTACATGAAGACAAATGGTCTTATTCCTTTTCTCACAAGAACATTCTTTGTCAAGGATGATTGTTTCACCACTAAGATTGCCATATATTGGAATTCAACACCAAATTTCATAAGTATTTGACAAAAGGAAGGCTTAAAAAGAAAAGATAAGTATTGGAGAGATGGCGTCAGTTGCCTCGTGGAAAAGGGTTCCCTTCGGCTCTCTTCCTAATTAGCTTTCATATGTACCCAAAAAAAAAAAAAGAAAACCCCTTTTAAATTATGTCATGCATGAAAGATAGAGCTGAAACCCACCCTCAAAGAGCATAGCTGAAGCCTACCTTCAAAGAGCATCTCTCAGAGAGTACTTCTTTTCCTCTGATTTTACCAGGAAACAAACTCTCAAAAACCAGTAGCTTGATAGGATTCCTCATTTACGATCATATTTACAAGCAAATCCACAACATTACCTTCGCCAAGAACAAAACGTACAATTTTTTTCTTTAAAGTTGTTAAGTTAATGGCAAAAAAAGGGAACCCTTCAAAATGGTACCTTCACATTGTATTCATCTCTCAATTGAGCGACAGAGCCAGTCGAATTTAGATGCCGAGGGTTGCATTCCCGTAATCCCAGGTGGAGTAAATCTAAGCTGAGAACAAACTAACATTGAAAAGGCAGCTTTATTAATCAGGGTTTGAAATGAAGATCAGACTCACACTTTACTGTAAGGGCGGGGAGTAGGGCTGAGACCTTGGTCGATGGCGTTTCCGAGCCCATCTTAGTCGTCATAAATGAAGAATAAATTCAAAGCTACCTTCATTCTCCATAGCTTTCTATTTTGGCTTTCGTCGCTGCTCCGGAGTGAGAGTGATTCCAGATTTTCCTCTCCATTACGATGACGATGAGAGTGTGATTCAGTCGCCGTTTGGATTTCACCTTTCGGTGTGGTGTAATTAAATTTATTGTTAATTGAATTTAAATATAAATTTAAGTGAAATTAAATTAACTTAAAATTTTTATTAAAATTTTGTAATTATAATTATAATAAATTTTTTAATCACAAATATAATAATAATAATAATTATTTTTAATTTTATCACAATTAATTTTAACGTCAATTCAAATAAATTTTCAAAAACTAAAATAAAATTTTAAAAAATCAAATCATATTGGCATGAATTGCGTAGAAAAGAAATGGCATCCGAAATTTTATAGTTAAAATTTTCACCCAAAAATTAAATTTGTTTACTAGAAAATACAAAAGTAAAATTTTTTTTTAATTCTTAATTTATTATTAATCTTTTATTTTATTATATATTTAGTCAAACAATATATTACGCCATTAAATACTTTCAAACCATAATTTTTAAGTATTAATCTTAATAGCATCTTAACTAATTCAAAAAATAATGACACTAAAAAATATTTTTAAAAAATTAGTCTTTTAGCATTTATTATCTAAAAAATATGAATAACCAAAAATATAAATTAATTCATGATTCTTCAATTTGCTTTTAAGTCTTTTGCTTCTAGCCTTATGGCTACAAAAACTTCTAAAAAAATATAAAAATTTAGTTTTGAATCAAATTTTTTTTCTTTATCTGTAATAGAGTTTATTATCAAAATATTTTATTATGTTTTTATTTTTTTATTTTAATGAAGATAAAATCCTATTACAAAAAAAAAAAAGAGTTTTAATTCGAAACTAAATTTTTATGTCTTTTTAAAAATTTTTGTGAACACTAAATCATGAAATGAAAGATTATTGTGTTCTTGTATTGAAACTACACATAAGTAAAATTTTATTAGCAAAAGCTTTAAAATAAAGTATTCTGCCAATAAATAAATAGAGGTGTTAAAATATTTTTTAAAAGTTTTATTTAATGTTTGATTCTCATCTAGTTAAAAAAATATTTTTTTAAAGTATGAAAATATTAATATTTTAATAATATTAAATATATTTTAAAATAAAATATAAGGAAAAATAAATTTAATCAATAAAATAATATATCTGAATGGCCCGCGAACAGATGGCGTTTGTATTCTTGTACATACAATGCTAAAAGAAAATTGTTGTTCAAATTTAAATTTAAGCATTTTCCTATTTTTTTAATTAAATATTTTCTTAAATAGTATGAAAATAAAAAATATTTTTTTGTAAGAAACAGGAATGAAAATTCAGAAATAAATAAATTTTTTAATTTTTTAAATTAAAATAAAATATATCTTATTTGATAATTTAAAATAAATAATTATAAATTATATATTTAAAATAACTTTAATAAATAATTATCTACAAAAAATGTAAATATCAGATTTATTCGAAAAAAAAAAGTTTAACCGATTTAATAGTCGGTTATGACAAACTGCACTGATTCCTCCCAAAGTAAGGAGTAAAAAATATTAAATAAATAAAAAAAAACCGTCGGTAGAGATGGTAGTAATATTAGCGACGTAAGCTGGCGCCAAAACCCACTGCAAAGATCTCAAAACCTCGAACGATCCAATCTAAACCCGCTGAATTCCAAGCTTTCTTTAGCCCAAAATAAAAAACGTCAAGAAACAAAGTTAAGTAAAAACAAAATTACGAGAAAATGAAGAAGACGGCGCATTCTTGGTTCTTAGGCGGACCCAGCAGCAGCGGTGTCGATCAACAGAAATCACCGTCTTTGCTGGCAGATTGGAATGGCTACGCCGCTTCCCAAGACTCTGATTCTGCTGCTCTTGGGTTCGATCTCGAAGCCGCCGTCCGTACCACCACCGACAAAGTGAGCGGCACATTTAACGGGTACGTATTTCGTAAGAATATGAGAAAAAAATTGTCTTTAGCGTTGATTTTGATAAATAACGTTTTGTTGTTTGAGTTTTATATTGCTTTCTTTGCTTCGTAGCAAAAGGGTATCTTTCTGTTGTTTGTTTTGTTTTCTTGGTTTAATTCGGTAGTTCTTTTTTGGGTTTGATGAACTGGATTGAATACCGGCTCATTTCGTTAGAAAAATTCTACCCTTTTGTAAAAGGAACAAAGGGTTAAACTAATGCAATATGTTCTGTTCAAGTAGTTATGAGTTAGAATTTGAGACACTACCTGAAAGTTTCAGGTAGGACTGCAATCAATCCGAGCTGAGTAGGTATAGTGACAGGCTCAATTTCAACTCGATTAGGCTCAAATATGATCATCTCAAGTAGGGAACTTGATACTCAACTAGAGTTCGAGCGGTTCTAAGATTGTTGGAGTTTGTGTTTCTAATTATATAATTAAGCTAACTAAATTAATTAAAGTTTATAGAAATTGGCTTATGTGGGATATGGTTAACTTAATTATATAAATATAAACATAAACTCCAACAAGAATTCAATAATCATATATGTAAAACTAATAGAAAAAGATCAATATTGAACAGGTTGAGCTTGAGTTTTCGTTGAGCTGAGCTTGAATAGCTTGACCCCTTTACAACACTATTCAGGTTTGAATATTAAGGAAGGGAGGGTAAGGTTTATCGGATGGAAGGGACGCAAGTGAGCCACTAACTTTGCAATATTGGTTTTGTTTATGGGATGGTTGATAGAGAACATTAATTATCTAAAAAGGAGGCAAAGATGGCAGATTGTGGAGCACCATTTGCTACTGTACATGGTTTAGGTGGATTAGGTTTGATAAGTAAAGATTCCTTAAGGTAGCAGTGTTTCAATTCTTTAATTTCTTTCCTATGTTTGGTCAAACCTATGGAAGATTTATTTGCTTTTCATATAGCTTGTTTAAATTTTATAACAAAGTTCAAATTTAAGATATTGTTGGATTGTAAAAAGAAGGTTTAAAAAACTTGCCAATAAAAATCTTCTTTTCTCCATTATTGTAGGATGGCAGTGGTTGTAAACTGTATCAGGATAGAGATCCGGATATTTCAATCTAAGTTATTGCATTTGCTAGTACTTGTGACTAATTTCATTCGGGAGCTTTTCAAGCAAAGTAGATGGGTTTTACAATTCATGCCATTAGCTGTTTTCAGTGATTGGCCCCATTTATTCTGGCAACCTTTTCTTCTCCTCACTACCATAGTCTTTAAGGGTTCTTTCCTTGCATTCTGCCTGTGGCATTGATATTAGGTTTGGTTTTCTTCATTTTATGAGTAGCATTAGTATGGTCATGTGGGTGCAATTGGTTTCTTGTGGATGTGATGAAGGATAATGTGTGCTTTAGCCTTTATGCATAGAGCGTAGTTTTCAGCTTATGCAATTTTCTTTTTACCTTTACAATGAGAATCTCTTTTGAATTAAATTCTGGTTTCTGTCTAAGCAGAAGAAGAGGCAAAAGCCTCATTTTCAGAAAAGTCTGGCTTATTTTTGGTTTGAGCTCCACTCACTAATTTCTCAGTAGTCATTATTTCTTATATTTGAATTATCATACTGGAATAACTCTTCAGGGTCTCAAAAGGAGTCAGAGACTTACCAGGCAGCTTTCACTCTGCAACTAGCAATGTACCTTCTGGTAAATCCTTAATGTACTTCGGCATGCTCCTTGCTGCTGGAGTGTTCTTCATTTTGATTGCATTCACCATGTTCCTTCCAGTGATAGTATTGGTGCCTCAGAAGTTTGCTATCTGCTTTACAATCGGTTGTGCATTAATTGTTGGCTCATTCTTTGCTTTGAAAGGTCCTCGAAATCAGCTTGCTCACATGTCCTCCAAAGAGGTATATTAGTTCCTTGCTTTCTTTTTGCCTGGTACACATTTTTATTTACCACTAAAACTGGCCATTTAAAGACCACTCTGTATTCGAAGTAATCTTTTTTAACACTTCGTACAGCCTCCTAAAATATCTCGTATTTTCTGTCTTTCTTCTTTACTTTCAGAGGCTGCCTTTTTCATTGGGTTTCATAGGCAGTATGGTGGGAACCATTTATGTTTCCATGTGGCTTCATAGTTACTTTCTTTCCGTGCTGTTCTCTGTATTACAGGTATTACCACTGTATCAGTCTGTATTTTCTTTGGTTTTCTTCCTTTATGTTGGGGAAATGGGGTAGGCAAGGCAGGTTTGGTAGAGTTTCTCGACATGTATAAAGAGCCTGAAGCGTTGTTATGCATAAGTTAATGTTCTGAGTGCTGGGTGCCAGCTGTTCTGTGCAATTGTGAAAATGCCTTCTTTGAGTGCTTGCTGTTTTACTAACATTTTGGAATGCCTTATTTTTAAGTAAATTCTGTTATTCATACAATTCCTTCTAGAAATTTATTAGGGATCTTCTAACATATAGGGGGATAGTAACCTGATTCCTTTAGTATTTTGCCACCATACATTTTGAGACAGATGTTAAGACTATAATGTATTATGCTTCTTATGAGTTACGAATTAAAATAAGTAACCATTAACATTTTCATGTGTATATTGCTACATTCTGCATTAAAAGTGGTGGAACACCAGCTAGTTGAATTGATGCCTCTTTGACCTTTTTTAGGTTGTTTCACTATCATACTATGCCATATCCTACTTCCCTGGAGGATCTGCTGGATTGAAATTTCTTTCTTCTGCTCTTACCTCGTCGGTATGGAGATGCTTTGGGAGGTGATATTGGGGTCCAGGCTTCTCATATGGTGATTTGGTCATTCACAACTTGCAGCCTTTTACGAGATTCAGGTTCTTCCAATATTCATTGTTGTGAAACATTAGTAGTTATGTATAATCTTTCTTGGAGTAACTTCTGATCAGATTATGAGATATAATTGAGTTGCCTTTCAGATTCAACCATATTTTAGGCACATGATAAATTCCTGTACATTTGTTCTTTTAAAATCTAAATAGTCACGATAACATAATGCATTTTTTTAAAAATTATTTCTTTATATTTTGTCATTTTGGAATATGCTTTTGGGCCCCTGTGGAAATATTTATATTATCTGCTTGAAAGAGGACCGATAGTGAGTGAAGCTAAAACTAATGTTTGAGCACCCTTGCATCCTAGCCTAATCCTTATTGCAACTAGTACAAGCATCTCCCCCCTATGTCCCATAGTAGAACAAACTAGAATCTCATGTATTATGTTGCTTGGAGTTGAGAGCCAGCGATGGATACGGGTATGTATCAAATAGACAGATGCATGTACTTTTTTCTTTTCTAAAATTTTTCATTTATTAGGAGGGTGAGAAAGCCATACCCATGTCCATTGATTATATATGGGTCGGACACGGGTATCTCAAGAAAAATTACACATAAGAGCAACAGAGCTTATGTATGCATTCATCTCTCTAAATTGGCCAACATCTATTTTGGCCATGAGCCAACATTACATGGTGTTTCAGTCTTGCAAAATGTGATAACAGGTCAGAGAATGTAAATAACAGCGAATTCCTATTTCAATACAGAGGATGGTTGTGTACATGTTACTAATCTTATTTTTACTGTGTATCAATATGAACAAGGAGAGGCTTATAAGAACAAGTACATATAAGCCTTTTCTTGTTCATATATACATTGTTCATATATATATATATATATATATATATTAGTTTTTGGTACGTGCATTGCGCACATGTAATTCTTATCTCTAAAAATTCATTTCAATAAATATTTTTATGCTATAATAATAATAATAATAAATATTAATAATATGATTTTGATTTTGGTATAATATGAGTAAATTTTAATAATTTTTTATATAATTTTGATTTTGATAACTTTAATAAAATTTTGGTAATCATTGACACGATTTTAGTAATTTTTTATAAAATTTTTGTAACCTTTTGATGTAATTTTAATAATATTTTGATAACTTATGATATACTTTTGGTAATTATTAATAAAATTTGTGTCATTATATGTTTAACTGTGGATTTTTATAAGAAAGCACAAGTTTAGTTCTAGTATAAGATATATATTTTTTATACAATAACATTATTATTTCATTCAAATTTAGAATTTTTTTCACTAAATTATCAATTTTTATTACTAAATTAGTATTGAGTTACTAACAATTTATGGTTGATTTACTATTAAATTGTTTATGATTTACTATTAAGTTACTAATGATTTGTTATAAAGTTATAATCAATTTATTATTAATTTATCGATAATTTACTATAAAGTTATCAATAATTAACTAATTTGTTACTAAATTATCACTTATTTATAACTGAACTCTTAGTGATTTATTATTAAGTTATTAATAATTTATATCTTAATTATCAATGATTTATTATTATGTTATTATACATTTATTACTATGTTATTATTAATTTACTACTTAGGTTTTAATTATTTACTACAAAATCATCATAAATTTATTATAAAATGAACCATGATTTATTATCAAGTTATCATTGATTTATATTAAATTATCAATGATTTACTATTAAGTTATCATTGATTAAATATTAAGTTATTGATGATTAATTACTATTAAAGTTATATTAATTTATTTTTAAGTTTTCAATTATTAACTACTAAATTATCATTGATTTACTATTAAGTTATTTATAGTTTACTACTAAAATTATCAATTAATTACTTTTAAATTAAAATTGAATTACTATTAAATCATCATCGATTTATTATAAGTTATCAATTATTAACTACTATGTTATTACTTATTTTTATTAACTTATCATTGATTTACTAATATGTTATTATGCATTTAAAATTATGAAACACAAAATTTAAAAGTCCACTAATAATATATGAGATAATTTTCCTTGTATATAATAACATCATTGTTTTATTCAAGTTTATTTTTTCACTAATTTTTTTATTAAATATGCTCATGGTAGGTTTATCCTAATTCTTAAAATGAAAATTTTGACTTCATTTTTGCTAGTGCTTAAGGTTCAATATTTGGTAACTTCAAGTATAATAAAAATTATCGACGATTGATAATTAAGTTATTAGTTATTTACTATTAAACTATCAATGATGTACTACTAATTTATGAATGATTTGTTATTAATTTATGATTGATTTGACATTAAGTTATTAATGATTTACCAATCATTATTAGTGATTTATTATTAAGTTATTGATGATTTATTATAAAATTATAATTGATTTACTACTAATTTATTGATGATTTACTAAAAAATTATCAATGATTAACTAATTTATTACTAAATTATTATTAATTTACAACTAAATTATTAGTAACTTACTATTACATTATTAGTGATTTACTACTAAGATATTAATTTACTAATAAATCATCAATGATTTACTATTATATTTTTATAAATTTATTACTATGTTATCATTGATTTAATACTTAATTTTTAATTATTTATCATAAAATTATCACTGATTTATCATCAAATTATATATTTATAATTCACTATCAAGTTATTTCTGTTTTATATTAAATTATACATTATTTATTATTAAGTTGCCAATGATTAGCTATTATATTATTGATTATTTACTACTAAGTTATACTAATTTACGATTAAGTTTTTAATGAATAATTACTAAATTATCAATTATTTATTACAAATTTGTAATTAATTTACTACTAAATTATTTATTATTTATTACTATCAATTAATTTCTATTAATCTAAAACTAATTTACTATTAAATTATCATAAATTTAGTATAACATTATCATTGATTTATTACTAAGTTATCAATAATTAACTACTAAGTTATCATTTATTTTTATTAAGTTTTTTTATTTAGTATTGTGCTGTTATGTATTTATAATTATATTATAATTGATTTACCATTAAAGTAATATGCATTTATTATTGTATTATTACATATTTACTAAAAACTTATCAATTATAATATGCATTTATTATTGCATTATTATAGATTTACTAAAAAATTATTAATTATTGATTATTAAATTACCAATAATTTATTATTAAGTTATTATTAATTTACTATAAATTATCGATTATTATTACTAAATTATACTGTTTACGTTTAAGTTTTTAATGATTAATTACTAATTTATTAATTATCTACTACTATATTATCATTGATTTGTGTAAATTCAAAAAAATAATCAAAATATATGCTAGATGATGTAATTTGTAAGGTAGAGAAAGAAAAAATAAAAAGTCAAATATAAATGATTTGAAAATATGAGTAAATACTTTTACTTTATTATCAATAGTTTAAGAAGAAATAATAAGTTAAAATCATAACTTTTTATACTAATGCAAGTATTAAAATTAAATTAAATAAATATATACAATATACATTAAGTTAATATTTTAAAGATATATTTCCAAATTTTTAGTTCATGATAAAATGGTACATATTAAGATAATTTTTATTAATGATTTAATTAAATTATTAGTGTATATATTTTCATACCTGTTAACGAAATATAATTGCATATAAAATATTGAAAATTTTGAAGTGTTCTATCACCTATAGAAGTAATAAATTTTGCTTTATATTTTTATTTTTAAATATATAATTTTTGGTAAAAAAAATTGTTATATATGTGATAAAAGTAATGAGAAAATTTTTACTAAATAAAATTTATAAAAATTGAACATACAATAATTTTAAAAAGTATTAAATTCACAATAACCTTTTTTTAATTCTCCATAAAAAAAATTTCTACTAAATAAAAAGGTGGTATATTTTTAATTATTGCTTTATTGTTATTATTATCATTTAAAATGATTTTTTTAATATTTTGATGACAATCAACTTATCGATTGGAAATAGTAAAAAATATTTTAAGGGGTTATAACAACTCAAATAATATTTAATTATATATTGTATTTCTGAATGAGTATGAACTATAATATCTCTTTCAAAAAATTGTTTGAATTGTTTCTTTCAACCCATAAAACAATAATTTGATCAACAAACGAGCGATTATAAATTCATTGATCTAAATTAACATTTCTACAATATGAATTTTAATATTCTCAAAAGAAGATTTATAATTTAATCTCTGCAATACTTAGATATAAAGATTTTCCTCTATAATTATTATTAGTATCTTCAGCCTTTTTGCACTTAAATTTTTATTGTGTTATATTCTCATTCTATTTTGAAATTTATTATCGGTGTTATAAAAGTATAACTAAAATAATATGGATTAATCAACTCAAACTTAAAATAATTTAAAACTCAAATTGAGTATAAATAAAATTTTACTCATTTTAAAATTTAATTTAATTAAAAATAGTATAATACATATAATTATAAAAATGAACTAACTTGACTCGATTTTAATTGATTTTAAAAGTCAATAACTTAATAGTTATTTAAAACAAAAAATGATTGAACATAATCAAAATCCAAATTTAAATAGTAACTCAATCAAAATCTAATATTTCTTATTATTCTTCCATAATAATTTAAAAGTTTATTATTTAAACTTTTTCCTTCATCTTCGATATCTTTTCTTTTCTTTGTGGTTTAATTAATTAATTAATTTTAAAAATATTTCTAAAATAAAATTGTAATTATAAATAATTGAGAATACTTTTTTTATTTGGATTTGGGACGATTGGAATCTAATTTTTTAAAATAAAAAAAAACATGCATCAATTATTAAGTCAAATTTACTCAATTGCATAAATAAATAATTAAGTACATTATAAATAAAAGTAAATAAAACTTGGCACAACTTAATTGGTCGTTGATCATAAGTCTAAAATTTCACTCAAAATTTTGAAAAATCAAAATTTAAAATAATTAAAATACTAAATACATAATTAAATAAAAATTTATCGAATAAATTTTGATAATAAATGCATTTAAATAACTTTTAAGTAATTTAGTTAAATTATAATTTATAATAATATTTTTATATTAACGATAATTAATTTGATAAATTTTAATTTTTTAAACAAATATTACTTAATATGGCAACTTTAAAGATTTTGATACAACTATGAATATTCTTAAATTGATATAAAAGAAAAAAATGAAAGAGTATACAATCTTTTTTAAAATAAAACAATTTTCATATTAATCGTAAAGAAATTTGAAACTAATACATTTGTATTTTTTCATTGAACATCATATAGTACTAAATTTTTTTGTCACATGGAAAAGATGGAGTTATGCATAACCAATTAATCCTTCATCTCATTTTTTACTTAAGATAATCTTCCATTGATATTTCCATCAATTAAATATAATTATACGTTCTATTAATTGAAAGCTTAATTTTTTTCTTTATTTAAAAATTTTATTATACATAATTTTTATTACATAAAAATAATAAAACAATTTTTATTACACAAAAATAATAAAATACATAATTTTAAAATATAAAATAAAATCCTAACCTTGGTACTTATCATGTTTTGCTAAGAAAATTTCAATTCTAAGAATAATAAACTTATTATGTAATATCTATACAATTTATAATGATTTCATTTTTAATATTAATAACATAAAATTTCATGAATGAATGTAATTTTGGTATAAATATATTTAAAAGATAGTTCCAATGAATTTGGTTATACCTTAAAAGAATTCACCAAAAACAATTAATTCTACTTCGCTTGATAATTTTTTACTTAAAATAATTCATGTTAGGTTGTTCAATTACTTTAATGACAAAAAAAAAAAGCAAGCAATTTAATATGATTGAGAAAGACTAAATAATATTGAGATATAAATTAATCATATATAAACATATTAAGATAAAAATTAAAAGAAAATTAAATCAATTATTATTTCAATCAAGGTAAATAATTTTTATGGCAATTTGATGAGACTCAATTTTGAGCTATTGGTAGCTCCACAATTTCTTGAATTATTGAATTCTGCAGGTGAAAAGTTCAATTAAAATGTTTAATGAATAACATAATGTTAATTGTTAGTGAAGGGAGTGCAATTGATTTGCATTTGATCAGATGTTAGTTTTTGTTTATAAGAATAACAATTCTAAAATTCTAAAAGAAAAAAATACAAAAGATAAATTAATTATAAATGTTATACTAAAGTGAAAGAATGATATATTAAAAAATTATTTCAAGGAACTAAAAAAATTTAATTACATTATCAATTATTAAATATTCAACTCATAAAACATATAAATAATAAAATCATTATTGTACATATAGATTTAATATATTAAAACAAAAAATTAAAAGGCAAAAAAATGCTTAAATGACTTAATTATATTATTTTTAATGAATTTATTTATCAATATAAATTACTTATAAAATTGTTTTTGCAACAACTAAAGAAACAAATTTCATATAATTATTTTATTTTTATGCAAATTAAATTTTTATATAATTGTATTTGTATTTTTATTTAATGCGAAAAATCATTCTACTTATAAAAAAGGAGTTTAACAACAAAAATAAAATCATTTAAATTAAAATTTATAAAAAATTTACTAATGGTATTTTAATCAATTATTTTTAATACTTTTGAAATTAAAATTTTATTAAGAGTTTAGTCAATAACTTTTAGTACTTTTTCAGTCTAATTATAAAAAAAAAGTCTAATAGTAAGAAAATTCATTTAAATTAAAATTTATTAAAAAAGAGTTACTAAAAATATTTTAGTTAATCACTTTTAACATTTTGAAAATTAAAATTTTAAAATTTTAAATAGTTTAATTTCTCATAATCTTTAATTTTAATTTTAGTTGATTTAATAAATTATACTTAAATAAATTAATGAAAATTATATATTTAAGTATAATTTTATTAATTTAAAAATTTATAAGAATATTTAGGTTAACACTTTTGAAATTCATGTTTTTATATATAGATAAATAGATAGATAATATATATATATATATATATATATATTATTGTTGCTGACTCATGTGGCCTATTTCTGACTAGGTCAAAGCAGCAAGAGTATCAGCTCCATTTACTTTCATTTTTAAAGAACTGGTAAGAGTATAATTTACAATACTAAAAGAATATACATGCATGAAAATTTTCTGTAGAAGGTTTTTTTTATTTTTTTTTTTTTATGGAAATTGCGGAATGCACACATCCAATCTCACTCAATCTTCCATGCATAAAGAAACAGACTGAATTCTGATGTCCTGCTGGGGCTTCTTGTAGAATAATACCTGGTTCCGGTGCTGGTATCGCTGTCTCCTCCGTGGCTACTACCCTCTTTGTCACTGTCTGCTTCGCCTGCTATCGGCTTGAATATAAACAGGCCATGGCCTGTTCCAGGGCTGCTAAACAACCAGTCATGCACATCCCACAGCACTTGCACCGGCTGCCTATCTACCAAAACAGTCTGGTTACCTCTGAATTTCCACTGCAAATTCCTAACGTGAACCAACACAACACCATCCATGCTAATCCACATTTCAGGGTCTTTTAATCCAGTTGTTGAACTCTCCACAACAATCTCATGTTCTTTTCTTCTTTCATCAAATCTAGCTCTGGTCGCAAAACTCTTCTTGGCGAACACATTTTCCTTCTTGTAAATTAGGAGAGGTTCTACAAAGGCTGGTCTTGATTTCGTTCTCTTGTATGCTTTTTTCTTGTAATCTCCCAACAACAACACCACCTCTTCATCAGCAACTAGAGCAACAAAATAATCTGCTACTGGTTCAGAGGCAGTAGTAAATTTAGCCGAACGAAGATCCCAGTAGACATCTACTTGGCTTCCTTCAACCTCAAAGGATTTGTACCCTTTTTTGCTCCAGAAATGCCAAGGCTTAATATCAATCTTGCATGAATATTGAAAATCTCCTTCCGTACTATTGCTCATAATGTTGAGACAATGATTCATGAGGTTCTTGCACCACAAAATCGTAACGCAACGCCAATAGCCTACTATATTGGTTTGGTACACCAACGTGACGGTGGTCTGATCATTTTTGTTGTTTATGTGGGGCTGACGTTCTTTGGTTATTCTCCCAGCATCAAATGCTGAACTTCGAACTGACTGAGCTCTCACGGGGAAACTAAATGCCATTGTGATGCAATTTTATGGTTACCCTTGATTTGCATGCAAATGGTAATATCCAATCTCTTATTACTTCTCAAGATGCAGCAGAGAAAAACCTATAACTATGCAATTCTACTGCATCTGATCTGATCTTGAAATGGTTTGTCAGGATTGCTCATTTATATAACCATTGATTACCTTGGCTTGGAAAGTTCGAGCAGGAGATGAGAGTAACCTGAGATCTTAGCTGATGACAGATGGGATGCAAAAATCCAGTCCCAAGAAAAAAATTGCAAATGAAACTGAGCATGCTGGTTTGCCAGAAGTTGTGATTTCTGGGAAAGAGACAGAATGAAGGAACAGACGGGAAACTTTGTCCCTCCATGGAGGAAAAATCTCCATCCAGAGGTTGTAAGCAAAAAAGGTGTCCGAAACAAGGGGTCAGGAAAATGTCCTCAAACCTCTTTGCTATATATAGTCTAGTTTGCTTACTCATCAACAACATACAGTTTTTAAAGGAAATTGTACTTCGACCATTATATCTTAACCGACATATAAATTTTTTAACCACCCTGAAATATTAGATACTAGCTCAAATGTCTCTCTTGTACACATACAGACACAAAAATGGAACCAAAAAAAAAAAAAAAAGAGGAAAAATTAAGGACTTTCAGGCATAGATGAAATGAATTGTGATGGATGGCTTATAATCTTGTCATGTCATACTGTTTTAAAAGGAAGGATGGTTCATTTTTCTTTTATAGTATCAGGAATTAAGCTTCCATTAATTGATATTATTAATCGAAACTTTCACTAAGCTGTCACCAGCAGTATAAAGGCTATATATGTTGTTTCATCTGCCAGTCCAAATTCCAATCAAATTCTCAGCAAGAATATGACTGCAATTTGACCCACTAGGAGAATAAATGTCTGGTTTTTTCTGTAACACAAGTAACTCATAAAGTCATGTTTTCAACCACAGAAAATGTATAATTCAGAACTAATTCTGACATCTCATACCTAAATATTTCTGGCCAAATTCTACAATAAATTTAACCGTACAAAGGTCATTTACACTACATCCTCATTTTCATATGCTCTAGTCCCTACGTTTTCATATCTATCTTTTTTATTCCCCCTTCCAGATGATTTCTTGCCACTATATCTGGCTTGTAGGATTCTTTCAATATGATTGGAAGAAGCATCAGCCTGAATGGCCTCTATGTATAACAACTTCACTGAATTCCTAATCCGACGCCTGAAGGTTGGTAGTCGGGACATGGAAGCTACAATTCCCTGCAACCTGCCATGAAATGAAAATGGCATGATGAGTTCTAAGTTTAATCAAGTTTTGCAGTAGATTAGAAAACTTTAAACAAGGTAATGTCTCCAAGTAGCATGCTAGATAAGGATTAATAATGCACAACCAGATCGTAGTACAGAGATCAAGCCATGAGTTCAAAAAATTGTTTAGTTTTCAAATCTAGCTTTTACACACCTTCTGATTATGGCTTGAAGCTGTGCTCTTCTGACACTATCACTGGAAGGATAACCAGAATCATTCCAGTCCTCAGGTTTTTCATTTTTGCACCCCATAACCAGCTTCCTCAGGCAAGTTTCTTCACTTTCATCTAATTGGAGTTTCTTTAATTGCTCTTTCACGATCAAGAGTGGTCCAATGAACCATTCAAGGACCTTGTCCCTTGGCATATTACTTCTTGTCAATTCCTCATTGTTAACTGGGAAATTCAACCACATAATCATGATTGTAAACCTAACATCCTCCACAAAGATAATAGAAAAAAAGAGAGAGAAGAGACATACTGATCACTAAGCCAGATGAGTCACACTTAGCTGACGCCAGCAGACACTGCAATATGGAACAAGCAGGTAGTTTTATACCCAACTTTCTACAATTGCCTTTCACAATGGATTCCTCGATGTCCTTGATAGTTATTAGGCCATCACAGAGGAGTATCCTACCATTCACCTCACAGGATTTAAAAAGCCAGTCCCATGCCTGTAAAATTTGGAACATAATTGAGTTCTTGTAAATTAGACATTAACTTTGATGTTATAGATCAAAGAGCAGACCTGCATAGGTCTGTATTGATGGATTGCCCACTTCAATGTTCTTGAGTTTTCTGAAATGAGTTTTTTGCTGGATGAACCCTCTCCTCTATTCTCCAGTTCATTGTAACAATTGTTATCAACCTTTTCCATCTCAGGGCAATGGACAATGTTTCTACGATATCTGGGCCTGGCTGTCAAAAGTATGTCTCAGAATCACAATCAAGGGATATGTGTAACATAAAAGAATAAAATCCTAAAAGCAATGAGAAAGAGGTTTCCAAAGCTTCACCTTAGAAAAAGAGCAAATTTGACTTGTACACATGCTTTTTCCTGTAAGTAAATTAAAGAAATTTTAACACATGATGTACCTGGGCAGGCAGGACCCTTCCCTCAAGTAGAGTAAATCATTTACATATTCATCAAACAGTGAAATCACAGATATAATATAGCAAAATCCCATATGCGGTGAATCTTCCTGGATTTTAACAAATATATGTCAGACAAAATATGAAACCAATTGAACAAAAGACATGTATAGAGTGCTATCATTGAGAAAGGAACCTTTTTCCAGACCTGATGCACAATAACTCCACCATAGAGTCCCAGAAAGAAGCTTGCAATGACAGCTCCCACTACAGCTCCCACTACAGCGCAACAGCCAAAGGCCATAAAAGAATTCCTAAACCAGCAAAAGGAACACACACTGTCTCCAAGAATGGTCCTTCCCTGCCAACTAAATCTTCTAACAGCCTTTTCCAACCTTTGAACAGCATATATGGGCTTTTCCACAATGTAATAGCTGTAATCAAAGGCACATCAACTAACATGCCAATCAGGCCAACCAACAAACAGCCTGGCAATTTTGATAACCTTGCAAGGACAAAATGGAATAAATCTGAAGAGTTTACTCATATGCATTGACTAGTATGCAGCAAAGATTAAAAAGGGAAGCCTCTTACTTTACATTCATCGGCTTCTCATCAGGGGGCATTTTTTCGCTTAGCTCATCCATGTAGGAGAAGTATGAATGGAAGCAAAAGTCTACAAAGTCCTCCACCACCATGCAGCTTCTTCTAATACTGGACAAACAACCATCCTGGTCTACAATGAGTTAGTTTTCCATTTGAATTGATTAAAATGGAAATCGACGAAGCCATTATGTATAAAGGTATTCTTCATGCAAGAAAGGAAGATAGACGCAAAGCTCTACAATAATATTGTATATCAATTCTCAATCCGAACAAAATTTCTTACTGACTCAGACAATACCAACAAGAACTTCTGTCAGATAGCTTGTAGTAAAAGAAGCAAACAGAGATGAAGGCAGAGAAAGGAACTCACAGCAAAGCAGTGGTAGCACTTGTCAACTGCATTCTGCCCAACGGCCTCAAAAGTCGCAATAAGGGGAGCAAAAAAACCATACCCTATTCCACCTAAAAGGCTTCCAACAACTGCTACGACTGGCCAGAGAACCAGTGGCACAACCAACGACACCAAAACCACAATCTTTAGAACCAGCCCCAGCCTCTTTGTTCTAAAATCAAAAGTCCAAAAAAAAACCAGAAATAAGAACACAACACAACACAACATTCTCTACTTCCTGAAAAGTTTAAATGGGACTACGATTGCAAGTATAACAGTACCTGTAAGACAATTCAAATGCAAGGGAAGCAAACCTTGCCACACAGAAGTAGGTCCATAGGAAATGTGCAGGCCAAAGCCCAATCACCACTGCCGAATTCCCAGTCACAGTAATTCCCACCACAACAGGACCAATGATTGCAGCTGTTACGAAAAAAACAGACCCAAAAACTAAATAAGACATCTTTTTTTGCACTGATCACTAATCTAACCATCCATTCCAGTCATGTGCACAAGCATTAGCATATGACATCCAGCAAAGCTCTCAAACATCATGAACTAAATTCACATGCTCATAAAGGTAAAAATTTAAACATGGGTAGTTTTTAATTTGTAAACTAATACCAAAAGAAGCAATTTTAATGACGTTCCAATAAAAAATTTACAGTAATTTGTTTTTTTTTTTTCACTACTTTTCTTGTTTCTACCTCATTTTGTAAGTACCTTTGAGAAGGCCAAGGATAAAGAGCAAGAAGAAGAAGGGAAGAAATGAGAAAAAACTCCAGAGTTTAGCCAAGAACCCCGCGGGAACCTCCATGTTTGTTTCAAGTGAGCTTTTGGGAGAGGATAATTTTGGAGATGTATGGAGGGCAATAAAGGAAAAGTGTTGCTTTGAGTTCTTCCTTTCTGTTTCCTTAAAAATCAGATTAAAGGAGAAAAAGAATGAGAAGTGTAAGAGACTACGTGGCAGGAGAAGGTTGTCAAGGGACACGTGGCGAGACGAGGAGGTGTTCAAGCAGTGAAACTTCGTGGAAAAGTGTGCATGGAGATGGTGACACCTCACCGGAGGTTTTCATCACGTTTTCGCCGGGAACCAACCGACTTTAAGGTTTTCTGACGTCGCAAAATTAAGGGCGTTATTGTATTTTCACATTTTCTCCGTTGTTTATTCTCACCAACCGAGTTAACGATTTTTGCTTCGATACGTAATTGATTGTATTCGAGTTAATATAATATTAAATTTAAATTTAAATTTTATTTAAAATTTAAAATTTTATTTAAATTTAATTAAATTTAATTTTTTTAATTTAAATTTAATTTAAGATAAAAATTAAAGTATTTAAATTTATTTGATTAGATTTCATTAATATATAAAAATAAATTCAATTTTTATATATAATAAAAATTTAATTATTTATGTTTGAACTCGAGTTCAAATTTAAAATATTTTATTAATTAAAATAATAAAAATATATTTAAATATAAAAATTAAATTAAACTTATGGGTTATTCGAATCAAATACAAAAATATTTGAATTCGATACAATTAATAAATTGAACAACTTAAGCTTAAACTCAACTCAATAATAATCGAACCGAATTAAATTATTTATATCCTTAATCACGTTAATTGTTTCACCAATTTTATTTCAAAATTTTATATTCTTATCACGAGTAAATCAATTAATTTATGAATAAAATATTATGATTATATCAATATATATAATTTAAAATAAAAGTGAAAAATTGATAATATAATATATATAAATACAAAATTTAAGACAACTGATAGGATGATAGTATTTTGTCTTACTACTAATTTTACATATGCAAATTCACTGTATAAATGAAATAAATAAAAACTTTAATTATTTAGATAAAATTTAAAAAATAAAAAACTTTATAACAACCTTAAAATCTTAAAAGAGATGCAAATTTTTAAAATGAAAAAAAAAGTATAGGTAAAGTGTCTCGAAATACATATTACCACTCTATTCTTAAGGGAAAATAAATAATATCTATAACTAAATTAATATATATCTATATTATTATATAAATTCTTAATTGATCTTCAGCTGTTTGATATAATGACTAAATAAGCCTTAAAAGAAGACTAGGGTTGGGATTCGATCCCAACCTTTCCCCCTCCCCTTTGACGTAGGGCTCTGCCTTCCTTGAAAAAAAAAAAAAAATCCTAATTGAATTTGGTTTCACTCAATCAAGTGACACCAACTCAACCAATGAATTGGCACAAAACCCAAATTATATCATAGTAAGTATGTATATAATATATGATATAAATATCATTTAACACAATCACTTAAATTGTAAAATGTGATTAAAAATATAATGAAAAATAATAAATAAAGAGTAATAAAAAAGAACCAGGTGCAATTGTTATGCTTTAACCCTTAAAAATGTTAAAATTTTGGATAACTAATTTATGACCTTGTGATGCATATATTAATTTTATTTATTTAAATATGTATGTATAAATATAATTTAGATTTATACTTATTATTATTATTATTATAAATATCACAGTAAATAAGTAAAATAAAAAGATGATGAATTGAATTGAATATGATTTGTATTTTATGATGGAATGTGTTTACTGGTAGACCATATCACTATTGGAGTCTTGTGGTAACTTTTTTTCTAAAAAAATTGAATAAAAAGATTATTAAATTATAAAAAAAATTATTTGACATATTAATCAAAATGCTAAAAAAATTAAAAAAAAAGATGTATAAAAAATTAATATACATAAAATTATATTTTAAGAAAAACAAAATATATTATTTAAAAAACAACAAAATATATTTATGAAAAATATTTACATACCTTCGTGATTTCGATTAAATTATTAAATAAAACATTTAAATAATTAGCTTAACCATTCACAAGCTTATATTAATAAAGATCTTACTTAAAGAAATGCAAAATTTAGGAACATGAGGAGATACTGAACAAAATCACCAAAGTAATATATCTTTAAAAGAAAAGCTGTAAATTTTAAAAATGACGAAGGATGCACGATTTATATATAAGAATTTTGCATGACAAATAGGAGATATAGATGATTTTAGAATTGCTAACTATATTTTGAATTTTAAAGTAGTATAATAAGTGATATGTGTATTTTTGAATTAAAAAAAAAGATAATTATAAGGAAATTTATGAAGACAAAAATTATATTAGAGATTTTTAAATTTAAAAAAGAGTTATTTGCATATTGATATGTGATTGTAATGTGCATTAGATTGTATGTCTAGTTTAGATATTATTAAAATTTAAAAATAAATATTATATTTTTATTTGAATTTAAAATATATCTTACATGTCATAAAAATAAATTATCCACATATATATATATATATATATATGATTATTAAGAAATCTGTTTTAAAAGATAATATATCATTACATTTGAAAATTTTAAATTTAAAAATTTATATATAAATTATTATGAAATTTATTTAAAAAGATAATACATTTCAATTAAATTTTGTTGTCAACAATTTAAAGTTATAAACGTAGATATACAAATAAGCAAGTAGACATACAAATAAGCAAATTCATTGAGCAATTTCTTATATCTCAAAAAAAAAGAAAAAGCTTTAACGGATAATGTATTATTACATTTGAAAATCTTAAATTTAAAAAATATATTTCTAGATTATTAAAAAATTCATTCAATTTAAAAAAAATAATATATCTAAATTGGATTTTATTGTCAATAATTTAAAAGTTTTTAAAATAAATATTTACGTAAGCAAATTTTTCGAATAATTTTTTATGTGTCAAATAATAAAACTGTCCACGTAAACATTCATGTAAGCAACATTTATTAAATATTTTGTATTTTGTAATATAATATTATATTAGTTTTTTTAACCCATACAATGCATGTGATTTTTTATTAAATTTTTCATAATTTTAATCTTATCTTTTAACTAACTTTAATTTTTTATATTATCTTAATAAAAAATATAAATTCTTATTGATCTAATAAATAATCATATATTCATGAATGCTAAGCTACAATTAAATGACAATCTGCACATAATATATTATAAAATGATACTGTTCATCTAAAAGAACTCTAAGCTTTTGTAAATTTTAAAGAACTATAAAAAATTTTTTTTTATAAAAAAAAATTTTCTTCAATTGATTTGCTAAATACTACAAATTTTATTATCGCTTCTTTGTTGTTTGATAAAAAATCAAGAATCAATCTTTAAATAGTTAAAATTAAGAATTATTTTTGTGGTAATGTTGATGGATTATATATAATTTGATTAAATTGTGAAAGACATTTTATGTTAGTAGAATATTCTTAAACTATTGAATCATAATATTTTTTAATTTCTTATATATATATTTAATTGAACAACAAATCACAATTATTAATTTGGTCATAACCATTTGTTTTTTATTTGTTCTTATTTTTTACGTACTTTAAGTAATTATTACACAAATATATTGGCCTAACAATTATTTCTATGTCAACAAAATAAAGTTATTTTTCTAGATAAAAGGAAAATAATGATTCTTTATGTTATGTGAAAAACATATATAACATGAAAACTTATCAAATATTTGTTTGAAATATTATTTATTTTTAATCATTTTTAACATAATTGATAAGGTATTTTTGATAGATCAAATATGGTAGTGATCATCATTATTCTCATACCATTCATTGTAGACAAAGAAAATCAATAATAAAAAAGTGATGTAAAAAGAAACGGAGAATATAAGTTTATATATTAATTTGTTAAAATTAAAATATACAATAATAAAGGCAAATATGTTAATAAATTAGCAGAGAATAAAAACATTAAAGAAATGAATAAAACAAAAATATATATAATATAAAAAGTTAATGATAATCAATAATATTTTTTACAATAGCTTCTGGATTTTTTTTCTTCCTCCAATATTATTTATCATATATTTTAAAGTTTATTAATTTGTTAATTAATTTTTTTTATGATTTGATATTTTAATTATAATATTTATATTATATATATTTTGAACATGTTAATAATTTAATAATATTAATTTTTATTTTTATTTAAATTTAAATAAAATAAAAATAATCCGTGCATCTCACGAGTAGTAAGCTAGTATGTTAATAAATTAGCATAGAATAAAAACATTGAAGAAATGAATAAAACAAAAAAAAATATAGTATGAAAAGTTAATTATAATCAATCTGAACAAAATTTTAAAAAATAATGGACTGAAAAACAAATAAATTAACCAAATATATAATATAAAAATATTTGAATTAAAACATAAATAAAACATTATATTTGTTCCTAAAAATAAAAACATACATTTATTTAACTTCTTTAGCAATGTTCAAATGCCTCTTCTTTTTATATAAAGATGTAAGCTCTTATTACTTTAGTAATACATGCTTTATAGTCAATAATTCATAAACTTAGAGTCAACCACTATATAAATTCTAAATAAATCCTAAAATTTGGCCAATTTAACTTCTAGTTTATTTTATTTTGCTTAATTATTAATTTCAATATAAATCATATTTTGAGGAGTAATACAGGTAGCAAATGGACTTACTTGGTCATGAGTATAATGCGGCTTTCACTTCTTTCTAACCATAATCGTCAAATAAAAAAAATTATCTTATTCAATTTCTAATTCTAATAATAACAAATAAAATAATTTTGACTTGAATGGGACAGTCTCCCTTATACTCTTTATTTTTGTTATTAAATTCTAATTTTAGTAGTTAAGCATATATATATATATATATATATATTTGGAACAATGATTAAATTAATGATAAATTAGGATTTAATATATTTGAATTTAAAATTTATGCTAAATTTTCAATTTTTGATATAATTTTGACTTGAATTTAAATAATTATCCAAAAATATTAAATTTAAATAATTTATTAAATATAATTATTGGCAAAAAATAAAATTTTAGTAAGTGTATATATTTGGAACTGTGATTAAATTTAAAAGAAAAAATAAATTATGATTTAATGTATTTGAATTCAAAATTTATGTAAAATTTTCAATCTTAGATAGATTTTGATTTGAATTTAAATAATTAACCAAAAT